TTGTTATAGAAATCAGCTTGTGCTTAAATTTGAACTGATTGTTGTAATTCCTCCAGAGACTAAAGAGAAGCTGATTCTGAGGCATTTCAGCTTGATGTTTCTGTTTTACACATGTATTTTTACAAAATGTTTTACCTGGCTTGATGCTGCGTAATGGACATTTGTTAATCCACATTTATGAGTTAATGGTATCCTTTCTTGTCTCTATGCCCAGTGGTTTGTAGATGAAATCAAAAGGTGCAGCATCTTGCTAAACCTCTGCTTGCTCCTGTATCGTGCTAGATGCAATTTTGAGAGTCGAACTCAAGAGTGTAGTGTAGGAGGTGAAGTTAAGGTCTGCTGTAGTTTTAAATACTGAAGTTGTTTGTTGTCAAGCAACGTAAAATCAAAGAGCAACTGTTAAATAATTGTGTTTGAATGATCTTTAATTTCCATGTAAGCATCAAATAAAAAGCAAATTAAAAACGTAGTTTTTGTGTCAAGAGAGAAGCGATAGGAACAGGCAGTATCAAAACCACGGGCCCACAGATCTGAAATACTGAACATGTTATTTCATTCATTCAGTTGATGAGCTGCAATGAGTTTTTGATAAATCACGGTTTTTCTGATGCCACCTTTATAAAATCCTATTCCCTACCTGAATAAGCTTAAATAAGATCTCTTCCTTCTCTTTTCATTCAGTGAAGCTGCTCACACTCTGGTCTAACAAAAAGTGCGGTGAGAATGTGATGTGGCATGTCGCACTCCAGAATTGTATAATTGTATCAGATTTTGAAGCAACTCTAGTTAGTGCCCTGCACAGAATGGAGAGAAAAGATTCAGAAAACAGTGTCTAGATATCCCATCATTTGGGTGAGAGCTGGGTGGCGTGGTGCCATATTCTTGACCAACATGCAGTTGTAGGTAAAGCTGAACTCCAGACAGTTTGCACAAGAAGTGTGTGTATCTGGTGCTGCAGGAACTGCTCACCTGTGTGCGGAGTTGGTCAGTGCAAAAGAAGCATTTTCTGAATACAAGCAGGTCTCCTTAAAATCTCATGCACAGTCTCATATTCAAAGTCTGTTGGGCTGGACTGTTGCTGAATTTGCCCAGGATGCTTCAGGAGAAGGCCTTTTCACTGGCCCACCTGAAGCAGGATGAGCGGATAGTAAAGTTAGTTATGGATACGTCTGGTTTGATGGGTGTCATTGCTCACAGAAGTGACAAAGCTGGTTCCCCATTGGAAAGGGGTGGATAAGTCAACGGTAGGTCATTCTGAATGCTAGGTAGAAGCACCAGAGGGAACATCCCGTTGTTGCCTTGCTTAGTGTGGGAATACTCATTAAGGAACTATTCTATCTATCTCAAGTATATTTTTATTGCAAGTAGCAGGATTTCACTCTTCTGAGTATGCGCAAGCCCACCTCACCAAGCAGATCTTGAAGGTGAGAAACAGAAAACTTAAGGTGGTTTAATATTATTGAAAGGTTTTACAGATTTTGCAAGCTCAGTAATATCTCACTGGTTTGTGTTCATCTGTTATGTTCTGAAATTGTACGTTTTTTCCCCACCTTAACTTGAATTCTGAGACAAAAGCAATTACTTAGAACTGAAACTAATAGCAATCAGTATTAGTTCAGCCAGCTCAGTGGTTTGAAATCTCTTGCTTGTTATCCACAGAGCAGGTACCATCTAGTCACCTTCAGCATTAAATGACCTCAGACACGACTTGGGTAAACCGTTGTGCTCAGCAAAGATGTCACTTCGCTTACTATAGCTTGGAAGGTTGGCTTTGTGCTTGGAGAGGAAACCAGTCCGTAGCTACTGAAGTCTTTGCCTTTGTTAGGCAGATGTTTCTGAATGTCAGACAGTGCCTTAGAAATAAAAAAATATATAGAATTGGCCATTATCCCAGTAGGGCAGTGGGATTTGTGGAAATACGTTCATGGGTGTATCTTGTTTTTCCCCAGTTGTATTAACCCAGTGGTACTTTGCTCTAAGGTAAAGACTGAGTCTGATTCTTTCATGCTAATGGTTTCCTATCCTTTATGAAGGCCGCAGGTTAAGAAGTCGTGGTTACTGAGCCTAGGCTTGAAAGACGCTTGTTTTTCTCTGGGAGCTTTGTAATGTACGTTGGTCAGTAGGATTTGCCAGAGAAACCATGTGTAACAGTTTGAGGGAAAAAGCAAAATAAATGTTGATGCCATTGCTGTTTTTCTGATGACGTGTGACAGTATTTGGTGTATCTGTGGTTTGTGCTGTCAGTGTTGCTATTGATTGTACAGAACTTGAAAACTGGATTCCTGTGCAAATTGAATTTTCTGAAAGTAAAAGCAGATGCTGATGAAATAAAGAAGAGGGACGAGAACGTGTGAAAACAGTGAACTGTAACTGCACGGAGCTGCTGGCTCAGCATCAAAGCGATGCAGCGTACTAGTAAAAACAACAGGATAAAAGCACCTGGTTCTGCTGCAGCCTGAGATATGGAACAGGGTCACAATCCAGAAGTCACTGAACGCTGTGCTTTGGTTGCCTAGAGAGCAGTGTGAGCTCTTGGGAGTTTCAGTCTACCACATACTTCACCTTTGGTATCTTTCTTTCCGCAGCTTGACCTACAGCCTCAGGGGAAGGTGCTGATGGCTGTGCAGTACTTTTTAGAAGATGCAGGTAATGTCAGCTGTTTGGATTTTATTTCCAGTTCTGTAAAACACAGGATGTAGCTTACAAAAAAACCAAACCAAAACAAACAAAAAAAAACAACCTCCTGGTATACTGAGTAGATTTCTTATTTTATTAATTCATTTTGCAGGTTTTTAATTTGTTTTGTAAGGGTTTTCTTTGTTTTGGTGGAGTCATGGGATGCCACATTTGTTAATTTCTAAATGACTTCATATTCTGTAGTCCTGTTGCATTCAGGCACCCTGGGGCCTTTAATATGTCTGTCCTCACGTTTTGACTCAACAGAAAAATACTGAGTTCCTGTTTTAAGCATAAAGAAGTGAAATGTCTTGTTCTAATTTATGTGGTAAACATGTTTTGTGGACCGAGGAAGTGGGTCTGATTTTTCTGGGATTCAGCTGTTGTACTCATTAGTCATGGAAATCAATCGTAGCAGTTGGTGAATGGTTGAATGTTAAATGCAAATCCTATTCGTGTTCTGCTGTATCAGATGAAGAAGTTAGCAGGCTATATGTGTTAGAAATGTGCACACACTGGAAAGAAGCTAGGAGATGGGAGGAGGTACTCATTGTGAGAGGGGGAAACTTTAGGTACACCAACAAAAACAAATATTCTAGCAGGGATTTGTATAACTTTCCAAGGGAAATGATGTAAACCTCACAGCTTGCTTAACTTTCCCATACTGGAAGTCACAAAAGCTTTATTTATTGGGAATCACTGCTCTGTCATTTTAGCTTACCAGTCTTACATGGTGTAATACTGTGTTTATAAATAATCAGTGGAGAGTAAGCAGTAAGTTTGAAAGCACTGGTGTAAGTCTGATGGGTTTTTTTGTTTGGGGTTGTTTTTTTTTTGCTTGTTCTTCTTTTTGTGTGTGGTTATTTTGTTTTTTCTTTTTTTCCAAATATATACAGGGGACATAGTTCTGCTCTCATGGAACAAGTAGATTCTAAAGGGTTTTTGTACCTTATGTGCAACCTGCATGGCAGCTTCTGGAAAGGCTACTAAAGATAGATGGTGATATGCAGGAGGTGACACTGCAGCATCTCAGAGTTGGTGTTTTAGCTTTGCATGGCAAAAAGAACACAACCCAAAAGCTGCCTCTAGTCTTGTTACTTCGTCCTTCTTTGTGAAATGCTTACTCTTTAAAGCAGTATTAAAAGAATTGGTGAATCTGAGGAACCATATGCAAGAGCATGTCACTGAAGGTTGGAATCTCTGTTTGTGCACCAGAGATATTCTGTTTGACATTCAAACTGTTGGGAACCATTATGTTAGGAAACTTTTGTCTTGGACGTCATCATTGCTTTCCCAGCCAAGGCAGCTTCATGGGGGACAGATGTGATGAGGCTCAGTCTGTTCAGCAAGGCATACTGGAATCTGTTTGTCCAGAAAGCTTAAATGTCTCTCGACCACAGGTGCACAAATCCTGCTTCATTTTTTTTTCGGCTTTTCATTTTATGAAACTGAAGCTCCTTCCCTCCATACTGATGTGAAAAACAGTAGAGGTTGCACATGTTTAATTTGCTATAAAATGTTAGGGAGAGGTGCTGATGTGTGCTGTGCATACCATAAAATGATTGCACATTGTTATTTGTCAGATTAAATTAAAAATTGATACAGCGTTGTTTAAAGTCCTTTCATTGCCTCTATTATTGGTGATTGAAAATGGCAGTAGATGAAGTGTAAATAGTGAACAGATTATTAAATCATCCAGTCTTGCTTTAATTTAAAAGTTGACATTTGCAGTGTTTCAGCTAGGCCTTCTACTTTGCAGTACAGTACTTCTTTCCCTGTTTACCTTCCAATTTGTAAGCAGTGACTGACCAACCCCTTTTTGATAACTGAAGTACAGATTCATCAGACTCCTTTTCAAGACATAGTTGACCAGCTACATTTTGTGAAGGAAAGTCGTTCAATCTGATGCTCAGAATGTTCACATCCAGCATCATTATACTGAAACATGCACTGCTCGGTGTTACAGGCTTGCTTTTGTCTCACTACGTTGCTATGTAGGAAAGCTGTGCAGCAATTTGCACTTGTCTTTGCACTACTCTAAAATACTAAAAAGTGCTTGTTCTGAAACTGGCATTCCAGCTGCTGCTAGGTTGAGGTATTGCTGCCATCTGTGTCCTTGAGTTGTAGGTGGTAGCTTGCGTTTGAACATCTCAAGCACTTTGCAGAGGTGACAAGCTTTCTTTGTCTCGTTTTGCAGATAGTTTTGATTTCCAACCTTTCCATCTAAGTAGAACACATTCTGCTATCTCTATAGAAAATTGCTTTTCTTAGTTTTCACAGTAAGCAGCAGTGCTGAGTGGTAAGCATGGTACTGCTCCATTACCAGATTTGTTGTTAGAGAATAATGGAAAATAACTGTCTTGGAATTAAGTGGTATTAAATTTGCTCCACGGTGGGCTACACTGAGCCATTTCATTTATGTGTTTGTGCATTCTCTTTGCAGACCGGGGTCTAGTCACAGATTTTAGAGGCACATTTGAAAAGCCTGCCCAGTCTTGGATGCTCTTTTCTACCCAGGCAGGACAGCAGAGCCCTGGCACAGTGCTCTGCTTCTTTTGCCTTCTGTCCTGGGATCTACAGATGAGTTTGTGCTGGAAATCAAAGCTTGTTTTCTAGTGTGTGAAGCAGAACAGCAGGATGTTGACTCCTGTTTTCAAAATGCGGTTTTCCTTTTCCTTCTCATTCTCTTGCAGTATTGAAAAATAGCTTATAGTTCTGTAAAGCATCTTTACTTTTAATAGGTGGGAGTTGCAACGTGCTTAATGCTTCCTTGTTTCATTAAATGTAATTAATGACCTTACAGAGTGAGAAAACCCAGGATCACAGGTGTGGCTTGCTGTACTGCTGAGTGGCTTGCTCTGTTAGCAGCTTTGGGAACACAGCTTTTGTTCTTGGTTCTGGATTCTGACTGACTGTGTTGCTGCTTTCAGCTTCCTGAAGTGTTACCTTCAGCTGCAGGCAGGTGGATCAGTTGGTTTGCACGTGAGCTCCTCATATCTGAAGTATCTGGTTTCTGGGAGAGCAGCATGAGCCAGGGAGCTGCGGTTGTTTGGAACGTGCTTTTCTCGTGTGTGTTGTGACGAGTGTTGGGTGAGTTTGAGATCTGAGAGCTTTTCAGATCAGAGTTTTTCTGAGGCCTCTGTGAAAAACCATGACACAAACAACAGATTCACAGATGCTCTGCTGTCATGATCTGCGTGTTGCATGGGTCTGGATTTGACCTGTGTGCAGAAGGATGCCTGCAGTCATTTAACAGAAACCTTTTTCTTTTCAAGGAAATCAAACATTCACAGCTGGAGTTGTTTGTTAAGTGCACAATCAGTCGCCTGTTTGGTTGGGAAGGTAGCTAACACTGTGCAGACCAGAGGAAGCTCAATATCAAGTATATGTTTGAAATTTGAGTTAGTTGCAATTTGGTTGGTTTTTCGATTAAAGATTGTGTTTTCTGTGCCTTTGCCTTTATTATATGGATTATATTTGCCTTTACAAAAGGTGCTAGGAAGAGTTTGTAAATGGATTTGAGCTCCTTTGTTGAAGCCTGGGGCCGAGGCAGGGAACGTGACATTGTGCTCCAGCTTTGAGTGCACGCAGCGTGGGCTTGTGCAGGTTTTGAAAGTGGAGAAGACGGCTTAAGAGGAAAGAGAAACACCTGCCAATATTAATAATCAGCCTGCAAGTGAATCATAACGATCGCAAACCCCAAAATAGTTGAGCATAGCAAAATTGCGTCACAGAAACACAGACTGCTGGGAAACTTGTACTTCTGTGGATGTTTTTTTTTGTACAGATCTGTAGAGCAAACCTCTCCAAGACCAGATTAGAGAGACAGTTTGTACCAGGAAGATCTCCTCTGCGAGAAGCAAGTTTTCTTTTTTTAATGATTACCCCGTGAGATTAATATTTTTCTTGACCTCCCTTTCAAACAAAGCTAACTGCGAGCAGTAGAACTGCAGAAGGACACACAGAACAGAAATGTTTGGTGAGTTTTATAATTTACATTAAAGTTTCAGGCAAATCTCTTTCAATTCAATCAGCCATTTAACTCTGGAAACATTTTGCCTGTCCCTCCCTGTTTGAAGCAAAGTCTCGGTTCTCAGGTTCTGCCAGTAGCATTGGTTATCTTTCCTCTCTTCAGATTATAAACAAAATCATGAAACGAACAGGATAAAGTGAAAAATGAACTCCGAAGATGATAAATGTTTTTCTATTCTCTTTAAAACCCTTTTTGTTTCTTTTGTAACTTGGGAGGTCAAACTGAACAACCTGACGTGTCGCCTTGAGGTTCATTACAGTTCAGCAGAGTCCCAGCAGTGTTGTGTCAGGTAGCTCAGCAGATGTTTCTCAGGCTGTGGTTTGCCTGGTGTGATGCTGGCTACAAATAGTCACAGGGGCTGGTGCTACAGTTGGACGGTGTGCACACTGCTATGGCTGCAGCACCTCTGGAGAAGTGCAGCATTTGCACTCGGGCATGCTTAATGAGTATGTGGCACAGGGCAGCAGGGATCCTTTTGTCACATCATTGGCATATAAAAGCAGCGTGCCACTGATAAATATTAACTGTAGTTCTCAGCAGGGGAAGTAGATGATGGTTAATGGTGTGTTCTGAGTTCTAAATGATTACAGTGGGCTCCGGACTGCTGTTGCAGCAGAGTCACCGGATTCTATTGCTGATTCAGCTCCGTGGCTCTGGTTTTGCCAGCCCAGCACAAGCGTGTCACCTGGGGAAGTTCTGGCTTGGAGAAAGGCAAAGGCTTTCCCTTAGTGTTTCTTCCTCTCACCACCTCCATGCTGCTGTTGGAATATGTCCTTCCTTGCAGTCATTAGTTCTCTCTGCATCTCTAAAACAAAGCCTCTGTTCCCTGAGTCCACGTTTGGCTGAACTTAAAAACTTGAGCAATGCACATTAGAGATAATTTGCACCTTAACGATAACTTGCTAAGTACAGCTGCAGTAAATGATCTGTGCTGTCATTTAGGAGCCATCTCAGGTCCAGATGTACATGCCGTACAGCTGCAGTCCAAACCTCGCAGTATCTTCAGAAGCGTGCAGCGTGCTTTCAGCTGTGCTTTGGTATGTTGCTTATGGCAGAGGTACATAATAAGGCACTTCACTGTTTGTGAAGACTGTTTATTGTCACGTGCAGATTTTGAAGTTTCTCTGTGCTCCAGGGTTCTTCATAGTTGAGTATGTTTAAGGAAAACATTTATTTTTCCCTCTTCTTCTCAAGTGGTGCAGACTAGTTTCCTAATTACCCATTAAAATTAGAAGCCTATCTAATGCATTTCTGCTAATGTCAGTTTTCCAGACAAGGAGGAACACCGTGATTTTCCAAATCTTGATCTAAAGTGTTATCTGGGAATCTTGCACTCAGCATCAGCAGTACCAAATTGCTAACAGTATATCAGCCGTACCCTGTTGCACAGTGGTGAATCCTGTTTGTTGCTCATTGTAGAATGGGGAACCACAGTGTTCAGACTTTAGGAAGACTTTTTCCCCAGTCTGTTCAGTCACAGGGTATCTCCTTAAACACATGAAGAAACAGCATTCCTTCCTCTGCTTTGTTGCTGTTGCTGATTAAATCCCCCTTCTGAACACATGCTTTTCATGCAACAGACAGTATGAACTCCTACCAGCTCTTGACATGCTTTTTTTTTTTTTTCTTGCCCACACATTTCAGTGTGTGGTTTCCTGGAAGCATTTGAGGGACAGTGGGTGTGATCTGTGTATTTGCTCAGGAAGGTTCAACCAGAGGATAGGACTGTTTGCAGATATGGGTGAGCCTGGAGTGCGGCGGTTGATGGGAGTTTTTGCTGGGTGAACTCAGTGGCCTGTTTGAACAGCAGAAATGAATCCTATTCCTAAAGAAGTCTCAGTGTACATGCTGTCAGTGCTTCTTTTAAACTCACCAGGTCAAGACAGGGTGGGTTTTCCTCTGATCAAGATGGTCGGTTTCTCAGGAAAGTTCTTTAATACCTGATGCTAAAAACCAAGGGGTTTATTTTGATCATTCTTTGCAGTAAAATGCTTAATCTTTTCTTAACCTCTGAACTGACTTTGACTTTTCTTTTCTACAATAGCAGGTGCTGCTGTAGGCTGACTGCTGTTGTCTTGATTCATGAATTAGCTCAGGACACTCAAAATGGTATCAGATGATAGATTGTCTTCCAGGTTCAGTGGTCTGTTGGAACTGCAGCAGTGGCAGACAGCAGATAAAATGACAAAGAAGAAACACATTTATCAACCAGAATACGGCTCTTGGGTAACTTAGCAGTAAATGCAGGCATTGTGATTAATGTGACTTGGCAAAGGAAACAGGGCTGTTTCTGTCAGTGTATGTAGGTCACTCCAAAAGTAATGCCTCCTAGTGGCTGGCAGCTCTGCACATAACAGGGGGTTGAAACTATGTGATCTTTATGGTCCTTTTCAACCCAGGCCGTTCTATGATTCTGTGATGATGGTCTTTTGTGCTGCTGAAGCACACCACCCGCACCTCACTGTGCTTACATCCACCAGTTGGTCTCTGTAAACATTCAGCAAGTGTTGGTAAATGTCAGTTAGCGCTAATTTTTCTGCATGGAGAAATACAGTGGCAGCCCTTTGTTTTATAAGCACTTCCATGTCCAACACCATTTTGTCTGACTCTGCTGCCCGTCTCTGTTTGGCAACAAAATGTCACAGGATATTGGTAGGAAGGTTCAACCTCAACTGCCATCCTACCGACATCTGCCTCTGACTTTGTGGGCTGACGGAATAAAATAGGAGCATTCCTTTTGGAGCAGCCCTTATAGAAGGCAAAGCACTGCCTGACACTGTTGAAAAGCATCAGTGCCATGGAGTAAATCAAACCCCAGCTATATTGGCAATGGGAAAAGTACTCTTGCGGCTTTTGTGTTGCTCCATGGTTGTGAAACCTCCCACCCTGCACAAGGCAGTCTCATTACCCTAAACTTTGCAGCACTTCCACCCTGTGAGCCATGGCTGTGTTTTTCCTCATTGGGACGTTCTAGCTGCTGACAGATGTGGTTAGCAATGCACTTGCTCCTGCAGTTGACTGAAGCTTGATTCCCTGCTGAATTGGGATTGTCTCTCATCAGCTCCTTTCTGTCCAGAAGAGATGTGCCCTGCAGTTACATTGCTAGTTATCCCAGTCAACTTGATGCACCTTTATGGAGTCATTTCCTTTACAGACTCCTCCTATTGTTTTCAAAACGAGTAAAGTCACTATAGAGTCTTGAGTTGTGGTTGAGAGGTTATGACACGGGAGACTCGCTTTTGTGATACAAGCTGGGAAGCTTCCTTCCTTATAGCTTCACTATAACCAGGGATGAAGGGTCTGTATGGGCCAGTTCTCAGCCAATTCCTGAAGGCCTGAGGAAATTTGTATTTCAAAATGAAACAGCCACGTGGTCCAGTGATGACTCGGAAGATCAGATTGAGAAGGGCATGCAGAGTATGAAAAGGCTTCTACTGATGGAGAAGATATCTTGCTTCCAATAAAACATAATTTCTCTTTAATATGAACTAGAGCTTAGAATTTTTCGAGAAACATCTGTAGTTGTCGTTTCTGTAGTGAGCCTGTGCTACTTCTCTGCTTCTTGTCAGCTTCATTTGCTGAAGGCTTCCTCTGAAGGAGCAGGAGAGAGAGCTGCCTGCAAAAAGAATGCTTAGGAACCAGTGCATTCATGTGCTTTGCCCTTGTTGGACTGAATGCCTGCAAGGATGATGGAGGTGTAAATTAGAAATACAAGCTGGAAACAGAAGAGGAAACAAAGTTTTGGAGAAACAAATGTTAGTCTTGGTAATAACTTAGAATTAAAAGTATGTCTTCTTGTCTGCCTATTTCTCCCCTTAGATTGCAGACAGTCAGTGAGGGAAGAAGAGGGAACAGTAACTATCAACAGAAGAGGAGCTATCAAGCAAGCAAAGATCCACTACATCAAAAATCATGAATTTATTGCTACCTTTTTTGGACAGCCCACATTTTGTTCTGTCTGCAAAGAGTTTGTATGGTAAGAAGGAAGCTCTAACCTTCCTGCACCCCAAAAGGATAAATATCTGTAACATTGCCCTCGTATATTGAAGTAAAACATAGATGTAAATTCATCAGTAGTACAAGTTGGAAAGTATTTACTCTCTCAGACTTTGAGATATGAAGTATCTGATAGCAGAATAAAGACCCATCAAGAGCAAGAAGCTGGATCAGTTTGGTAGGGAAGTCATTTTAACAGTAAGCCAAATCAGGAGGAATTTCCCTGTGATTGAAGCTTTGGTTTTTTTCTGTGTTCTCCTGCTGATTTGATAGCCTTTCAGAACATACTGCCTTTATTTCTAAGTCTTGTCTTCCTACGGCACTGGGTTCTGAATACCAGAACCTAGACCAGTTCATTAATGGGACCAGATGGTCCCGTGGGTGAAGGAATTGAGTGACATAGTGAAAATAGGAAAAAAAACCAAAACATTTGTATTGTAGCAAACATATACTTACGTGATTTCCTTCTCTGTCATTTGTTTTTCAGGGGACTGAACAAACAAGGATACAAATGTAGGCGTAAGTTGAATTTTGTCTTTTTATTGTATTACTTCCTACATTATTTTATAGATCTAATTTATTTTACAGATCCATTAGTTACCTTAGGAAAAAAATCCTGTAAATTTGCACAAACATCTCCGTCATCAGTAGATGCCAAACATAAATTTTGTGTGATGATCTAAAGTTGCCTAGTTGTGATTCATACCTGAAATTTCAGTACCAAGATGTAGACAGAACTATTCTTCTAATGTGTGTGTAATACACTGGGAAAGCTGCACTCATACATGACAGCTGCTTTTGTGAAACCTTTTGTCAAATGAATTACAATTACTGATGGATTTTACAGCTGAATTCAAAGGTACTTCATAACTTAGAGTAGATCTCTGTGTGTTATTTCAAACAGCAGGGGAGGTATCAAAGGATCAAAAGCCTAATATTGTCCTCATATCATCAAATTCTGGTGGCATAATCTAATGGAGACAGATTTCGTTTAGAAATAGAGGCTATGACACAAGAGAATGAAAGGGAAGCTGCTTTAAAAAGATCATCTTGATAGAAAGGATTTGGTACGATGGTGTGACGATGTGTTTTTCATGTTGTGCTATGAAATGCAAACACCTCATCCCGTGTATTTATTATCTGAAGAAATCCTTTTTTTTTTTTTCTCCTTGTACATGTCGTGAAGAGTGCAACGCTGCTATTCATAAGAAATGTATTGATAAAATCATTGGGAGGTGTACTGGTACTGCAGCCAACAGCAGAGACACAATGGTAAGAGCTGGCACAGCGTCCTTGGAGTGTAGCTACGTACTGCTGAGCTAACAAAGCCCTGTATGGAAACAGGCAGGTCCATTCCGGGGGGTGTTAAGAATGGGTTTGAATATGTAGTGGGTGAAACTTGGAAGTAAACAAGAAAAAAAATGGTAGTTAAAAGCCCTAGAAGGAGGTGGGCAGTATTGATGGGTGCTTTGCTCCCTGCAATGAAGGATGCGTTCGTGGATCAAGAAGGATTTTCGCAGGCTTCAAAAGCCCCAAATACCAGTTTTTTCTCTTGGATGTGTTTTGTGGCATGGTGCATAGCTACATCTGGTGATGTACTGTGAGGGTGAGGTGGCATTGTTTTCCCAGTGTTTTGAGTGTGTGTTGCAGAGACTCTTATCTTTCATCTGTGTTATACGACATCAGTTCTTGGAAGTGAGAGTTGGCTGTTGTCAGGACCCCTAGAATCTCACCCGATTGTCTCATATATATTTTACTCTGTAGCTTCATGTTCTCTGCTAATGTGGTAGGATGTAAAGAGATGCTAAAAGCATGTTTTTGTTCAGTAACTGCCCTGTTAGGCTGGGATACGCACCCAAATTCTTACTTGCAGAATGTTAAGAGTGGGGTATCCAGGGTAAAATTGTTGCAGCTTTGTAATTTCCAAGCTATTTTCTATAGGAACCTGGTCTCCTTTGGGTCAAGTGCCTCACCCATCTCTCTGCCCACAGTTTCAGAAGGAACGTTTCAACATTGACATGCCTCACCGCTTCAAAGTTTACAACTACATGAGCCCTACTTTCTGTGACCACTGCGGCAGCCTGCTCTGGGGGCTGGTCAAGCAAGGACTCAAATGTGAAGGTATGGAGGAGGAGGGAGGGCAGCTGGGAGCTCCCACTGCTTGTCCAGCAGGATCACTTTCTCTCTGCCCCCTGCTAGAGATTAACTGCCACCAAGCACTGCATTTGTGTGTTATGCAGAATGAGATTTATCATCCCTGTATTGTTCAAACAGCTCTTTAGGAAAGGGGGACAGCAAGGTGCTTGGCTTGTGTGACAGCTCAGCCAAGCTGAGCATCTCATGCAGTTGGAAGACATGCACTGGAGATGTAATCTTGAGCATAATCAAAATTGCTGCTGGGAGTAGCTGAAATCTGGTGAGACTGACTCAAGGTAGCACCTAAAGGGTACTTAAAGTCTCTGCAAATAAGATTTCTGTAGTTCTGTCACAAAAATGTAAGATGATCTTTATTGTAACAGACTTTGAGAAGAATGGTTGAAACCTTTTTTTTTGTATTTTTGTAGCCTTCATTGTTTTAAAGATAAAAATTTTAACTTTTATTTGTAATCATAGATTAATGTCTAACCTGGGCTTGCTGTAATTCTTATGAACTGCACTGAGAAAAAAGCCATTTTGTTGTAATCTCAGATGTTATTTTCCTGGTGCTTGTATAACTGCCCTTAAATTTATTTTAGAATGTGCAATGAACGTGCATCATAAATGCCAAAAGAAGGTGGCCAACCTGTGTGGAATTAACCAGAAGTTGCTAGCTGAAGCTTTAACTCAAGTCAGCCAGGTATGTTTTATTGCCCTTTGTCATTGAATTAGTTGTTTGAGAACATTTTTGGTTTTTATTTTACTTCACCTGCACCACATCACTTTTGTTGGAAATGGAAGTTTGGAACTGAGGGAATGTAAACAACTTTCTCTTCTTAATTTGACCATTAGTAGAATAACAGTGATGTCAGCACCTTAGAGGTGAAGCTGAGGAGAGAAGCATCCATCCTGACAAAGAGCTCAGAAAAAGGAGGAGTGTTCTCCCTGAAATGCACCTTGGTTCTCTGACAGTCCCAGGGTTATTTTCTCCCTTTCTGTTTAATTGTGTTCAAAGCATAAAGCTGAAGTCTGTTTTTCTCGTGCTTCAAATTGAGAATTTCCCTTGAATGCTAAAATTAAGTGTGAAAGGAGAAATAGACCAAATTATTTCAGTTTTTATTAATCCGATACATACAGAAAGAAAATGCCCCTGGAATTAGCACTGGCCCCATAAGTTACCTTGTTGGTCTCCTGCTGCAGTGTGCCTGTTCTTTGTGTACAGACTGCTGTTGACTTCTGAGTTGGAAATTGAGGTTCAAACACAAGCTCTGAAATAAAACAGGAAAATACATCACAAAAGCCAACAGTATTTCCTCTCAGCTGAGGCATTCCTTCAGCTTTAACAGGATATTTACTTTGGAAACACAGAGAGCTGTTACACCAGCTTTCACAACACAGAAAAACTTGATGTGCTCATTAGTAGAACATGATCTCTGAGATCTTCTGACCTAAAATTTCTTTGCATGTGCTAAAGAAGGATGTCACACGCTGACTCTGATGTGTCCAGCACTGCAGTGGTTCCATCTCCTCTTTCAGAAAAATCAACACAAGTCCAGGGAACAGCAAATTCAAACTGAACAATTATTTTCACTGTGGATTCAAACCTTTTGTCACGTTTTGTAGTTTTTCAGCAAATAACTACAGAGACTGCTCAGGATTCCTGGCGATTGTTTTTCTTGCAGTGAAAGAAGTAAAGTGATTGGCTGAGCTGAAAAAGTGTGGCTAAATAGAATCACAGAATCACAGAATAAATAGCCTGTGAGCTAGAATTCTACAGGAGAGATGTGCTGGGAGTTAATTATTAAAAAGCAAAGATCGTGCTGCCATCACACTGCATTTACCAGCTGTTGTTGTAGATACTGCTGAAGTACCAGTGTCAGTAGAGCTTAAAGTGTTCCCTTCCTCCTTAGAAGTCCACACGAAGGTCTGATTCTGGATCTGTAGAAAATGTTGGTATTTACCAGGATTTTGATAAGAAACTTCGAGGTCCAGGAGGGGATACAACAGGTGAGAAAAGCAACCATATTTTCCTCCAGCCATTTACCCACCAGACTGCACAAACTGCTGGTCTCAGTTATTCATTATTGCTTTCTGCTGGATGACTTTTTGAACAAGCATTGTTAAAAATATACACACAGTTTTTACCTGACCAGGCAAAGTGCTTAATAACTTCTTGGCCAAGAGCAGTGTTTTTTCAGTCTACAAGCAAACCCCCTTTCCTGCAGGACACCTGTGTGTTATCTCCTTGTGGCACTGTTCCTGAGTGGCAGTGTGGGGCAGCTCACTGCTCTGACACCTCTCCACCTCCTCCAAAATGTCACATATGTTGTTAACCATCTTTCTTTGTTCCCAGTATGTAAGAAGCCTTTGTGCAGTGACAACTGCTGTCAGTTGTGGGATTCAAGAGCCAGAACACTAGCTGAGATTGAACAGCTGAGATAGGATTCCAGATCCCAGTTAAATGATCTCAGCAGGTTCAGAATGAGGGTTTATTTGTGTTTTTTACTATTGTTAAAGAGTTCTAGCAGTTAATATATCTGGGTTTAGCAACTTGTGGTTATTTATTCAGAGGTCATTGTAACAAAAAACTGACTTGGTATCAGATGAAAATCTCCAGGCTCAGTAAGAAGTAAATGGTGGTTTCGCAGCTATACACTGAGATGGTTCTGCTGCAATGCCCAGTAAGAAACTGAGTGTCGTGTTATTTATCATACTTGTTCTGGTTTGCCAAAAGAGAGCAAGTAACCTCTTGCAAAGGTGGGTGGGTTGAATATTAGGTCAGGATTGCAGCCATTGAGATTCCTGCCTGCTTCAAATGCTGTGCAGCTTGCAGGGTGTATAGAGTATCATCTTGTGATTGTCATCAGTGTCTTGTTGTGACATGGTAGATCTGTGCAGTAGGGATCCAAGGAATGATGTTATTAATATTAGAATATAGTCAAACTTAACTGTTGTTTTCGTGCTTTTTAGCCAGCATCATCTGCTGCTAGTTGGTGCAGAAGGTGGTCGTCCCCTCTACTCAGCTCTGGCTGAGGTCTCGAGTACTGTGTTCAGTTTTGGGCCCCTCACTACAAGAAAGACATTGAGGTCCTGGAATGTGTTCAGAGAAGGGTAGTGAAGCTGGTGAAGGAACTGGAACGTGAGTTTTGTGGAGAGTGGCTGAGGGAGCCATGATTGGTCAGTCTGGAGGAGTACAGCTTCCTAAAGGGAGGTTGTGATGAGGTGGGGGTTGGCCTCTCTTCCAGGAAACAGCAGTAGGATGAGAAGCAATGGCCTCAAGTTGCACCACGGAGGTTCAGGTTGGATATTTGGAATAATTTCTTCTCCAAAAGAGCGGTCAGGTGCTGCAGTGGGCTGCCTAGGGAGGTGGTGGAGTCACCACCCCTGCAGGTGTCCAGGAAACGTGTAGACGTTGTACTGAAGGACGTGGTTCAGTGGGGAATAGGTAGGTGGTTGGGCTAGATGATCTTCGAGGTCTTTTCCAACCTTGGTGATTCTTTGATCAGATGCAAACCAGATTTTTTGTGGCCTCTCTCCTCAGACTGGAGGACTAAGCTCTCCTCTCCTGTTCTCCAAATTATGCTCTGTATCTTAGTGATGAAGTTAGGCTCTTTCATTTTCATAACATATGTGTTGCTTAAACCCAGCATCAGAAATGATCACAGATTCCAATCCAACGTTATCAGATGTTCTTGAGTAATTTAAACTCGTTGTAAACTACGTGATTTGACCTGTATGGTTAGATTGGCCAGTGTCCCAGCAGCAGATGAACTGAAATAGGGTGTCATTGAATTGAAATAGTATCACTACTTCCTAGCAGGGGATCTGAGTTGTGCAGTTTTTCTAAATATGCTGAACTTTAACCTCCTTTTTGAATTAGCAGATAACAGCCAATATGATAAACTCTGGGAGGGAAGCTCTGCCAAGCCAGCATCACGCATTGTGAGCAGGAGAAAATTCAATATTGACAGCTTTGTCTTCCATAAAGTACTGGGGAAAGGAAGTTTTGGAAAGGTATGTAGTAAATTTACAGAGCTTAAACTGACATCCTTGCTTGATCTCTGCAGTACTATGGGCTGTTTCTGTTAACCAGAACTGTCTTACATCCACTCAAGTAGATAACATTATAACAGAACACAGTGGAACACATCCTTGTCAAAAAGACAAAAAGTCTTCACCTGAATCTGTCAGATAGCAGAAGGGATTCATTAATGCACAACAGGTTTTGAATTATTTAATATCCAGTTTAGAGGAATTGCCCTTCATCCAAAAGGATAATTCATGTTGATACACTTTGTATAGAAATGGACTCAGTGCAATGGGAGGGGATACGTGGGAGGGCAGCGTGACCTTCCACTCCTGTCTGCCTCTGCTCTGTGCGTGTCCAGCAGTGGTGTGAGCTCCTCAGGGCCTGTCCTCTGTTGGCTGTGAAACTCCAGCTCCAATGAAGAAACAGGCATCTGTTTATGCTATCACAAGACAGAAAAACTGCTCTGACAGCTGCCCTGCCTGTGTTCCATGCTCTTTGTACCCCATCTCCTCTCAGCTACGCCCAGCAGATTCACCTTCCCAAGTCTCACCCATCCTTCCCACTCATGTGGTTGTTTAGTTGTCATGGCGCTTGCTGTAAATGCCCTTGACTTTTCCTTACCTGATGCCTTGCCAGCAGTCTTTCCTACACCTGCTTTAATCTCATCTTTCATTTCATTTGTAGGTCCTGCTTGCTGAGCTGAAAGGAAAGAATGAGTTCTTTGCCATCAAAGCTCTGAAAAAAGATGTGGTGCTAATTGATGATGATGTGGAATGCACCATGGTGGAGAAGCGGGTCCTAGCACTTGCATGGGAAAATCCATTTCTCACGCACCTTTATTGCACATTCCAGACAAAGGTAAGGAAAAGAAACCCAGTGGCAGCAGCCTCTGAATGGGTGCTGCTACCAACGGTCAAGGGAGAATAGCTGAGGGGATTTAACTTTGCTTCATTCTTGTTGTGCTCCCCTGCAGTAGTTCACAAGACTTGTGCAAAGTACACGTGAGTGTGATGAGGAAAACAGAATGGGATCTGAGTACATCTACACAAAGTGGAGTAAGAGGCAGTTTAATGTAAAGCCTTGACCTTAGCTTTATCGTCCTCAGTGAAGGGAACAAAAATGACTGTCGGTAATGACAGACAGAAGTCAGTAAGTCTGTTTAAATGTAAATTTATATTAAATCTAGAAGCCCACAGAATACACAATGAGCTCCTCAACCTCATAAGATCATGCTATTCAAATCGTTAGCAACTCTTAGGGGTGCACAAAACAGGTAACTATTTCAGGATATGAGGAATGTGGCCACTTGGTACCCAGGAGCCACGTTGCTACTTACTGTGTACACAATGGCATCAGTGATGTTTCTGTTCTCTGATTATCTGCAAACAGGATCACCTGTTTTTTGTTATGGAGTTCCTGAATGGGGGAGACCTGATGTTTCACATACAAGACAAGGGGCGTTTCGATCTCTACAGAGCAACGTAAGTCCACAATGCTTCGGTCCCAATCTCCATGCATGCTTTATGGTTCTTCTGCTTCTGGTTCTAACATTTACAAAGCACTGTCGTGTTTTGCTTTAAGGGATGCCTGTGCATGAAGATGCTAGGTAAGCCACAACAAACGCCAGCAATGAAAAGTACAGCATTAGTGTTCTCTAGGAGAGTATTTCCATGGAAAAAAACAATTTCATAAGAAAACAGCATTGGAGGAGGCTGGGAGAATCTAGTAAATAAAATCACTAGTACAGGAGGATAGCATGCACTTCACACAAGATGTTTGTAAAAATAGGAAAGTGATTCTGTCAGTAACTTATGGCAAAGATAACTGGAGCTGAAGACTTTAAAAGATGCAAAAATATCGTATTACCCCAACTGTAACTATTAGGTCAGTTTTTAACTACCTCACCCAGCAGAATGCCTGTAATTGTGTCATTGAATGGGAGAATCTTAAATGTAACAGCATGGGGTACCCAGAAGCACCAGTGCTATTGTATAACTGGACAAGAAAATGCCTGGTGTTAGTGCATGTTGTACTGAGGAAATGCTCACTGGATTAAAGGCATACATTCTTGGGGGAAGAGAAAGCATTCCTTAAATGTTTTCCTTGGTATCCTGGATTATCACCTCCTTTTTGAAACAGAAGCAGTGCTTCTTTTCAGCCTGTGCTGCAATTGGCCAAGCATAGAAGGATATAGGTATTGAGGTCTGTCTCACATGTAGCCTTTAGAGCCCCATCACCCCCCGTGCAGTGCTGTATTAAGCTGTATTAATCCCAGTAACTGCATTTCAAAGACTGTTGCATATTTCTCTATAAATACATGCTGAACTATTAGAGAGTAGAAAAGGGACAGCATTCCACAATGAAAGAGAATTAAAGCAAGTTGCTGTCCCCACTGTTTGGCATCACAGCTGTGTGGTGAAGGTTAACTCGCAGATTATAACATCCATCTGTATAAATACAGGCCTAACATTAAACATTGCTTTGCTCCTTCTGAGTATGTAAAGGAACGTATAACACTTCTCACTTCATGAAGCTTTATGTTAGGTCTTTTGGCCAGCTGCATTGTCTCATGTTTTAACTGGGAAAGACAAACTGAAAGGCGTTTTGGTTTTTTCAGGTTTTATGGAGCTGAAATTTTATGTGGGCTACAGTTTCTTCACAGCAAAGGCATTATTTATAGGTGAGTGCCATCCAGTTCCAGCGTGGGAACTAGGAAATGCCTTAACATTTCATGCCTCTTTGAGTTACTGATTGATGTAACAAGTAAAGCCTTTCTGTCAGACATTTGATGTTATTCCAAGGGCATTAAGATGCCTGAGATGAATTCTGTATCTTTGTGTCTTTTCCTTGGCAACCAGAATGATGGAATGTTATTTACGTTACACAAAAGCAATTTTGTCTGTTATTTTTAAACTGTCCCTTCAAATCACGAGTCTTTCCAGTTCAGTGCAGTGGTGAGGGTCCCTGTGGGTGTCAGTTCCTGCCAGCCCTGTGGAATCACAGAGGTTGAAAGTCGTCTGCTTTTGCCGTCTATGTGAAGCCACAGGATCGATGCTTCTGCCTCACCAGGTGCAAACATCAGGAACCAGATGCTCATCAGATGCTTTGTACTGTACATATCCACATGACAAGGGATCCTAAGTCTCTGAAGCACTGTTTGGTAGCTGCCTGTTCAGGCAGCTCTTATCTCTAGCAGACAACTTCTGTGTGTTTGAGAGCAAGTTGTGCATGGCCTTAGGTACGTGCAGAGATGCCCAGTAGTGACCTTCTCCCTTTACTGCTGTAAGGACACACCTGTTGGAGCGTGCTGTTATCAGCAGGAAATCTTTCCATCCCAGATTTTGTAGAGCATTTCCAGGCCTGCTTATAAATGTCCCTACATTAAATTAGTGCTCCTACAGGGAGATTTCAGAGTATGGAATATTTTCAGAGAAACAGTACCATTTACCAACAGGACATCAGCAAAACCAAAGGCACTTTTCTTCCCCATCACACATAGGAAGTTGACCAATGTAATCACAGAACCCAACTGGAGCCGTTTTAGGTAGGTGATGCACATGAGTGAACCCCTCTCACCCCTGCAGATGATTTTAGAACTTGCAGCTAGATAAGAGCAGTGCCTTACGTTACAGTGAGCTTTCCCTGTCTCAGAAACTTACTCGGGTAAACAGCCCAAACACAGAAGGATTTACAGTGCTTTGCATTTGAGCAGGGGCTCTTGGTTCCTACTGCAGCTCACTCCTCTGGTTCATCCTGCAGCTCACCCTTGTGGCAGTGTAAGTAGCTGATAATGTAAGCTTAAGCTCCTGGAGAGAAAAGACTGCCCTGTTCTCATGTAAAATCTGCTCAAGTCTTGGTAAGCAGAAGGGCTGCATGATTTCTCTCCAGCCTGCTCTCCTCGGTATGTGCTTTTGCAGCCAGATGGACAGAAAACACATTGCAGTCAAAGGGAGGGAATGTAGCTTTTGGAAACTGCTGTTAAAAAAGGCTCTTGCTGTGTGAGGAGTGCAGTTCTGAGAAAAGGCACCAAGAGGGCATGTCACAGACAGTGGGCCACAGCACGCAAAGTACCTTGTGCTGTGACTAGGAACAAGGCACAGATGGTACTAAAATTGGGCAGGCTTCGAACATTGGTGCTTGTGCCAAACACTCCTGGCATCCGACAGCTTTTCCTCTGAGTTTCCCAGTCGGTGCAGCACTGCTGTTAGTGGTGAGGCATTAACTCACACCTCCTTCAGAGGCAACCGAAGCACTGAGTGGTTCTGGACATGGAAGCATGGTGAGGATTTTATGATCACTTTGTATGGACACCTCAGCCTCCTTCTTACTCTGAGGAGAAGTCTTCCTCTCTGCCTACCATCTTCAAAGTACAGGAATTACTACTCGTAGATGCTGTGTTGATGGATGATTATTTCTTTGAAAAGCCTCTTTGTGTGGTGTAGGGAAGGCTGTTCTTAGCCAGGAGGAACACGCATACATCTGAATCCAAAAATGATTCACTCGTGTTTCAAACATGCTGTTTTTCTTTTATCCCCCTTTTGCAGAGACCTAAAATTGGACAATGTTATGCTTGATAAAGAAGGCCACATCAAAATAGCTGATTTTGGAATGTGCAAAGAAAATGTAGTTGGTGAGAACAAGGCAAGCACTTTCTGTGGGACCCCAGACTACATTGCTCCAGAGGTGAGTCCATCAGTGCCACACACTGCTGCAGTGGATTTAACGCACCCACCTTTGAGTGGCCTCTGTGGTTATTCTTCCCTCTTAAGAAAAGCAGTTCAAAACTGTTTGAAAAACAAAGTACTCTAATTAGCATAAGAAAAACATTAAATCTGAGCTGTTCTGTGGAAGGCTCATAACGTTTGTAAGTGTTCTCTATCTACACTTTACAAAACCCCGATTTTTTTCTTTTAAAATGTAAATTTTTCAGTTGCTGAAAATCTATAGCTTTCCCTTTTGCCTTACATGCAGGGCTCCTGCAAAATGTGTGCAGATATGCACCCATGTAAACAGCCAAAATTCAAAGCAAAAACGGCTTCTGAGGAGACTCTCACAGTTAAATTCCTTGTGTTCAGGGCTGGTTTCTTATCTGAGTTGCATGATAGTCAGATAAGGTGGTTAGCTATTAAAAGCAATAAATGTCAAAGTCTGTTGGTTAATAATCTGCTTTCATTGTTGTGTGTTCCTCCATTCCCTGTTTATTACTTTGTAATGAAACCAGAGTAGATGGTTCCAAGAATGTGGCATTTAAAGTTAATGGAGAAAACTTGAGAATGAGAGCAAAGTTGTGTCCTCTGAGCTTCCAGGCAGCAGCTGAGCATAGTGCTACAGTGTCAGCAGTCCTGTCAGACAGCTGGATTTTTCCACCTCCCCAGATAAGCTCGTTATTAAAGATTCCTCTTAAACTCACACTTCTGGTTTTTTGGCACGCACTTCTGCCTTTTGCTAATTAGTCACGTTTCTTCCCCTGTACTCTTTTCATGGAACAAGATTCTGCAAGGCTTGAAGTACACATTCTCTGTGGACTGGTGGTCATTTGGGGTCCTGCTGTACGAGATGCTCATTGGGCAGTCCCCTTTCCATGGGGATGATGAAGATGAGTTGTTTGAGTCGATCCGCATGGACACCCCTCACTACCCACGCTGGATTACCAAGGAATCAAAAGATATATTAGAAAAGGTAAGTTGGATTATCCTGGAGTGGGTCAGCATAGCGTATTTCTTGCAAATAGGGGGGTGTTCCCTGTGAGCCCCATACAGGACAGGCTGAGAGCTGGGGCTGTGCATCATGGAGAAGAGAAGGCTGCGGGGAGAGCTGAGAGCAGCCTGTCAGTACCCAAAGGGGCTGTAAGAAAGAAGGGGACAGACTCTTCAGCTGGGTCTGTTGTGACAGGAAAAGGGGAAATGGTTTCAAACTAAAAGAGGGGAGATTTAGACGAGATATTAGGAAGGAGGATTTTTTAGTTTTTGTTTGTTTTTTGTTTGTTGTTGAGAAGTGGTGGTGCCCCATTCCTGGGGACATTCAAGGTCAGGCTGGATGGGGCTCTGAGCACCGATGGAGCTGTGGGTGCCCCTGCTCACTACAGGAGGAGGAAGGGATGCCTTTAAATGTCCCTTCCAACTCAAAAGATTCCACGATTCCCTGAAATCTCAGCTTTTTCAAAGGAGCTGCTTATCAGCTAGCAGATAACTTTTACAAATTGAAAGCCAATGGAGGTTAGTAGTCAAGCCTGTTCACCGTTAGCAGCTTCGCTTCAGCAGCACACCCATTACTTCTTCCAGTGCCACCTACCTTCTTAGCACATGGGAGACATCATTGGTTATCTTGTCTTGCAGCTATTTGAAAGAGATCCAACAAGAAGGCTTGGTGTCACTGGGAATATCAGAGCTCATCCTTTCTTCAAAACCATCAACTGGATGACCCTAGAGAAGAGGGAGGTAGATCCTCCTTTCAAGCCAAAAGTGGTATGTGGGTGATTCTTTGTTTCTTGGCACTATTGCAAATGCCCATATATAGGAGTCACGGGTGGTTTCTCTAACTTGCTTCAAGCATTCTTACTTACTGTAATTTTTCCTGAAACCTGGAATGCTTTGCAGTCTGAAATCTTCCTTTTAAGACCACCTTCGTATATGACCTCAAGAAGCCTATTTACCACTCCAGCCTTCAGGAAAAATCAGTTGATAGTTCTGAAGTCCACCCTTCTTAAATCTTTAGATCAGTGGAGAAGTGAATGTTTTCCATGCCTTGATGTTAGCACTACTGCTGGCACTGCTGGGCTTTTCTCTGCTGTGTTGCCATGTTGGCAAAGAACCAATAAACTTTGGGCTGCTCAGCTGGTCCCTATGCCAGTGTGCACCAATACTACATACCTCTGCTGCTCCAAACTCATATTATGAGAGTCTCCAGCTGGGCAGAAGGATGTTCTTCACACTGATATTAAAGCTGGTTGCAGTGCATGTGCCTGGTGTTATCTAAAAGGAGGAGTGTGTAAAGAACAAACTGCTTTTAGTCTGCATCACCACAGACTCTTGATGCTTCATCTGAGCTAAAAATTGAGATCGGTTTTCCTTGACCCTGGTGCAGGTACAGATAAATGATCTAGAGATTAAGCTGTCTTCTTAAAATGTCCTTATATACTTGGTGCAGGAATTGTTCCACTTACGAGTGGGAGGCATTAACATAGAAGGCACTGTGGAAGTTTAAGAGTCCTGCAAACTTTAAGCTTTGAAGGTTCAGAAAGTGAAAGATGGCCTTCAGTATTTCTGAGGGCAATGCTGGGAAATTCTGGGAATTCTTGGGAAACATGCACAAATGTTAGTTTTATCCAGACACAGACAGCTGGAGGACAGCATCAGGTCTTTCTCTGAATGAACGCAGACCTTAAATGCTTTCAGGAATTTAAAAATATCTGTGGGCTTAAATGTGACTGCACTGCTTGCGGCAGTGGAGGATCCTTGGGTCATTAAGTGAAACTTCATCATGAATCCAGGTGGTTCTTTGTTCAAAGCAACACAGAGCTGTTTGTTTCCAACCACCAATCTGTAGCTGCCCAGGTGTAAGTTGTGGTATTGTTTAAAATAGGCAAAGAATTTTTTTTCACTGAACCCAGAGTGCGGTTTGGGAAGTTGCTCTGGAAGCCGGGTTTGCAGCCCTGCCCCAAACTGTCATTCCTTCTCTATTTAACAGAAGTCAGCGAGTGACTACAACAACTTTGACAGAGAATTTCTGAATGAGAAGCCAAAGCTCTCCTACAGTGACAAAAACCTGATCGACTCCATGGATCAGTCTGCGTTCGATGGCTTCTCCTTCACCAACCCTAAATTTGAACAGATCTTAGAAAAATAGTCCGAACAGAGCCAGACTTCCAAATGCTAGGAGCAGAAAAGCGCAGTGCTCCGTGCTGTGTTCCAGTGATGTGTCAGTACTTCAGCACAGCAGCTCAGTAGTGTGGGTGATCACGTGTAACTGCTGCTGTACTGGCAGTGTTCCTTTATGCATGGCCGGGTGTGAGGTATGTGAATCGTGTGCACTATTTTCTCTGTTTGGGAAAATGTAAATTGTTTGGTTACTTGAATGTAGTTATGTTTTATAAATATATATATATATATATATATATATAAATGTGCTGTATATTTTGCTCAAGACATTGGAGAATGGAAGATGTCTTTTTAAAAAAATGTGTTTGAGCCTTGGTTCTTTTGTCCTCACTTCAAAGAAAGTTACATTAAACTTTCGTTCCTCACTTTGATTTCTTTCTCGTGGACGAATACCCAATTAAACTCCGGTTGTAATTAATCCACAGTAGAAAATGATAATCATTTTCAAGTCTTTTTCACTTACAAAGATAAGAAAAACTTCTAGAATTATCTGAAATGAGGAACTAACAGCCTGCAGCTGGTGGAGGCAGCAGGGCAGTGCTGCTCTGGGCACTGAGGCCCACACCCAGCAGCCCATACTGCAATTCATTAGCTGCACATTCTTGGCTCTGACAGTTAATAAATGCCTTCATCTTTACTAGGAAAACATAAGAAACAAACTCATTTCCTCCCCTGAAAGGACTTTTTAAAAACCTGTGTGTTGCAGGAACTCCTGCTGACTTTCATTTCTGCAGCACAGCCAGGCAGTGCTGTGCAACTGCAAAGCTGCTGCCAGCAGTTCCCCTCCCTGCTGTGTGCCAGGCTGCAGGGGCTGCTCTAAAGGAGGGCAAGCAGCTGCTTTGTTCTTGAGCTGTGCAGCACCGTGCCCCTCAACCAGTGGTGCTGCCCTCAATCACTTAATTCTCACTTTGCCTCTGGAATTTTCATGCCACCTCAACTGTATGTGCAAATATGTGCCAGAAGGTAGCAGGTGGAAGAAGATGCAAGACCAGTGTAGTATTAAGCTTGATTCAGACCTTAAAATACCAAAATGCAAAGGAAGAGTTAACAGTCTTACCTTCCTGCTCCCTTGGGCAAATCTTCACATTCTCACCTAAAAGAAGAACTGCTCCCCAGCGCTTCCACTGCTGCACTAGCCATGGAAAAAACACAGCAGTGCAGGGTGTAACATTTGATCTTTATTGCTTGGATCAAATGTCAAACAATTACATTGGTCTGAAAGATTACAACGATGAAGGCCAACAACGTAAGAACAGGTAGTTTAATCTCATTCAGAAGTCTGCATCTGAGCTAGCGAGTGCATTAATCAGAAGGCAGCGGAACAGACACAAGTACTACACAACCAGGACGAGGGTTTTTACCTCCCTGTGCTGATTCAGTCAGGGCTGCGTGGCAGAAAGAGTGCAGGACATGGACAGCTGCTCAGGGCACTGCTGGTGCACTGCAGTCCTCCCCAGCGCCTCCCAGACAGAAGTCACACAGCAGGCAGAATGCAGCTCGCTGCATGCTTACATTCACTGTCTACACTGGCTCTCACCAGCTAGAAAGGGGTGGATGCAGTTGATGATTTAGTACCTAAAGTCCCACAGACAACTTCATAACTTTTTTCTCTTCAAGTATCAGCATAACAGTTTATTTACACTCCTATACAACCTTTTTTTTAATTATTATTATATTTTTTTTTTAACTCAACACCCACTTAGTAAAACACAGTATATTCAAAAGCAGGCTATAAAAATACCTACTGTACGAAAAACATTCAGCTTTGAGGAATCATACAGCACCTCCGAAAGGGCAGAGAGGTCAAACAGAGAGGGGGAGGAAAGAGCAGCCTGCAGCTCACCTCTCGCTGGGGGGAACCTCTCCTTCCACCACGCTCCTCAGAGGCGCAGCCCCCTGCTTCCCCAGCCCCAGGGGCACACATCTCAAGGAGGAGCTGTGGAACAGCTCCGGTCACAGCAGAGAAGAGCCCTGCTTTCCCAAGCAAAGAACACAAAATCAGAGAGGGGAAGCGTTCTGTGCGTTTTGCACAAAGATGGCCTTGGTTTCTATCAATAAGTTAAGCAGCACCGTGCGGCGCTCCTCACACAAAGCTAAGAACACAGCTGAATGAAGAAAGGGCTGAGACACACACAGCTCGAGCCAGCAGCGCTCACAGCAAGTGTTCCTGGTCACCTCGTGCCTCCCCTTTCCTCTTCTGCAGTGGAACCCAGTGATGTGATATGGCTTACTTCCAGCACGGAGCAGCTCGCTGACATCAGCTTATTAAAACAAACCACGACAGCAGCACAGCATCTTACAAGTCCTGCATGAACAGAAGGCGGCGCATCCCCAGCCTGCAAGACGATGTTATGAGGACCCAGTATTTCACACAGGGATTGAACTGAGTTCTGCTGCCTTTTGCGGTAAAGGTTCGGTCACTTGAAGTCCTTAAGAATAAAGATTTAACAAACAAACAACCAAACAAAAAGAAAAAGCACCGTCCATCAACAACAAGGCAGTCCTCCTTCCTGGACAAAGCCAGCACAGTGCTGGCAGCTCACAGCAGCTGAGGGTAACACACCGAATGCAAAGCAGTTTAGTACTTAGGAGGTCGTCCCCTCAACAGACATAGAGAAGCCCATTTGTAGCACTGGAGTTTCACAGAGAACTACAGAATAGCAACGAAGAGGTTGCTTAAAAACAACAACAATTAAAAGACAAAAAGGCATGCAGGCCACATGACAAGTTTCACAATTTACCTGATGTTTTCTCGCATGAGCTATAAGAAAGTTGAAATGCCACCTCACCTTTCTGTACTGTTTCCTGATGTATGTGTTAGATGTGGCTATAAAGAGAAACATACGTGTTGAAATTCATCCCAAAACTGCCTCCAAATCACAGTGCTAAAAAGAAAAGCAGCTCCTGCAGCCTCTAAATCCTGAGCCCTTCCCCAGCTGGCGGTCAAACAGCTGCCAGGCCGTCCTGCAGCCACGCACACACAGGCACTGCTCTGCCCGCTCTCATTGCCCAGGCTGCTGCCCCCCACTCACATCCCACAGCCATTACTTCAAGCTCTGCCCTCCACAGTGCTCCACGCTACAGCCGCCCCTGGAAAATGTCACAACCCCACTCAAGCACAGGATCTATCAGGTGGTGAAACTCACTGGAATCGTTTTGTTTTCCCAGGGGAAAGTCTTCCCCTCTCATAACAACTTCAGCGTCTTTGGGCAAACCCAAGATCACAGTGAGACAGAAGCTAGCATTGCTGATGAGCTTTCTGATTGAAAGTAGATTTGCAACACGAAGCCTCCAATGCTCTAAACGCAGGATTCTGTCTGTGTTAAATAAGCCTCTCCGTAATTCTAGGCAATGATTCACAGTAGAAATAAGAGAAATTCTTAGAAAAACACTTACTTAAAGAAAGTAAAGTCTAGTTAAAATCTGACAGTAAAACTGACACGGGCAATTAACCATCTTGCAGTATCCACAGATGAACACTAAAAGCCACTGAAACAGCACAACTTTACGTACAGAAGTCTACAACCAACTGGACTCCGTCAGCACGGATCTCTTTTTACCACTACCAGGAGTTAACCACAACTACAGCTGTTCTCCAAAGAAGCTGAACCACACTGGGAACGTCTGAAGGCGGAGGGGAGCTGCGCTCTGCCCGCCGCCCAGTGACGCCTTCACCGTTCTCAGGGCCGAGCTGCCGCTCCGTGCTCAGGTGCTGGAGGAAGGGCTGCTGCCTCCGGAGCCGCAGCTATAGGTGGTTGGGTACTGTCCTCAAGGCTTCTTCTCTCGACCGGTCCACGCCTACATTCTGCAAATTTAAACACAGAAAGTACTTGAAGGCATGAGTCACCCCGTCGGCCACCGCTCTGCTCAACTCGCAGTGCTCGCACAAGACAGACACTGTGCAACTTCTGATGTTCACTGCCGCAGCGCGTCTGGAAAGCACAGGGACAGGAGGAGGGGTCCCAGGCTGGGAATGAAACCAAGGCTGGGAAACCAAAGCCCAGAGCAAGGCAGGGCACTCGGAAAGCCTCTCAATGGCACAGGTTACAGCACCTCTGCTGGGACAATCGCTTTTGGACAACTGGTTTCTGCATGCTATGTTTGTGTCACATTGTTCCACTTAATTTTTATTTATTTATTTTAATTCTAATCACTGTTTCTATCTACTAATCACATCCAGCATTTCACACGCAGTGCAAGAGAAAAATAACACCGCGCAGCAAAGATCATCAGCCACACAAAAAGGACAAAACTGGGATGGAGGGAAAGCCATCTCTCCTTTGTGCCTAGCTTGCTTTTGGAACTGATTCCTTAATGCCTGCCAGTTCTGGTCCTGGTAGGCAGCCTAGTCACTGGCAGATGAAATATCTCCCAGAAGACTGGTAATGTGAAGTGTGGGACTCGTAGGCACGTTGGCAGATGTCACACTGATATCAGGTAACATTCTCATGGTTTTACAGCCCTGCTGCTTGGCCTTTTCCTTCCAAGCACGTCTCTCCAGTCCAGCTGAAGGAAGCAGAGCCTCATACACAGCACGCACCGCCCCACCAGCCAGAGTGCACCTACAGCACAGTGAGCCACCCCCAGCCGATGGTGCTGGGACACTCCGTCACTCTTCCAGAAAAGAAAGGATAAAGAAGCAGTACTAGACTGGATTTGGGGGATCAAGCACACCCACGTTATTTCTGCCCTTACTAACACTCCTTGTACCAACATCAGCCCTTTCTTTTCTCACCCTCTGGGTACATCAGCACCAGCCACCACAACCACAGCACGGGCACACGAGAGCTGCAGAGCACCCAGCTGCTCTCTTTGAAGGAGAAAACCACACTCCTGTGCCAGGAAGAAGCTCCGCAGGGCAGCCTTCCTTCTGGAGACACAGAAATGGCACCAGCATCCAGGAGCGTGAGGACTTGGCAAGGTGCTCTCCTCCTGACCACAACAGAGACACCCACTGTGCTGGCATTTGTCTCGTCTGTATTTTCTTAGCAATTGATGTAACATACCCAAAAACTCCTCAAGAATGTGGAGATGTCTCCACAAGCAATGTGAGAAGATTGGCTAACATCTAAACGAAGCATCTGCTGCTGATTCAAAGAAAATTAAATGGAGCTCAAAATGGAGCATCAATGTGCAGAAATGGAAGCACTGGAAATTAAGAGCAACCAGAACTAACAGCTACAGCATGAAACAGAGGAAACAACGTGGCCAAGACAAGGAAAAGCCACCTCTACTTAACTGAAATCAGGACTGCCAGGCAAAAACTGCATCCCACCAGCTGAGACAGAGGGAATGCCAATAGGCAAAGCTGTAAGCATTCAATCCTTCAGTCTGAACAAAGGTGAAGGGGAAAACACCGTGGAAGCAAAGCACAGGGAACTGCCATGTGGAAGAGACACTACAAAGTCTAATAAATAAACCTTGGGGCTTATCAGACAAATGAGACACGAAGCTGAAAGACCAGAAAGGGAATATCATCCCCTTAATGGTAAATGAATTCCTGCTCACAGCAATCACCTTACATCTAATTAGTGCAGCTGGCACCATTCTCATTGCCACAGCAACCATGGGCACGGGGAAATAAAGGCTGCAGCAGAATGGTGCTGCATCTCCTCTGGTCAGTTTGAGCTTTTATCTTCTTTACGGATATTTTATGTGGTCTTGGAAACCCTGAGTTTCTGAGTTCTGAATGGTGTGTGCTGGGCGGCTCCAGCTGACTTGATGTCACGGTCCAAAGCTGCAGAGGGCCTGCAGGAATAGCACCCAGGCATTTGCTGCTCCTACTCATACTGCTGTGCTCCCTGGGCTCCTCAAGGCACAACAGTGGCAGAGCCTCTCCACACAAGTGCTGTGCACCGAGACCACTGCCATTTCAGTGCTCAGCTTTGTTCCTCCACTTGTGATCTTCACACGAAAGCTGGAAGACTTTGCATAAGGGGCCCAGCTGGGGATGGAGGTTCCGAACTGTGCAGGAGCCACGAGGAATGCTGAGGCAGATGCGGTTTGTAAGGATCACCCACAGCTGAAGAACGGGCACATGAACAGAGGGATGAAGAGCACAGTGCAAAGGAAGCCCTCCTTCCAGCCAACCTCCTCCTGGGGAGCTGCACACAGACCTGTCATCACCACCTCCCCTGCAGCACCAGGCCAAGAAATCCATACAGGGAGGCCATCAGTAATGTGATGTAATGGGAAATCCCCCCCAGGGGGCAAAACTGCTTTTAAATCCCACCTCCATAAAACTCTGTTTTTCTGCAACAGAAGCCTGCACAGATTTCATCTTCACCAAAAGTTCCATGGCACAATATTTCTCACAGCACAAACTGTGAGAGGTGACAACACCACTGACATCACGGTCACCACACGGAGGATCCCAGCTCCCCCAGCCCAGCCCACCAGCAGGGCCGGAGCCGACGTGGGACGGCGTGCTGCAAACGGACTGCAGTCTGTCCAGCACGTGAGAGCTTTTGGTGGAACCAAGTTCAGCTGCATCCTGCTCTTCTGAGATCACGCTCCTTCGGCAGGAAGAAAAGCCTCCCGTTTTCATGCCTTGCAGGGCAAGCCACAGCCCAACCAGCAAATAACTGCCTTCTGCTCCCTGCATGGCTCGGCATCTCTCCCAGCAGAGACTGACCTGCGTGCTCCACAGAGCCAGCAGGGCAGCACCAGGTGCTCACACAGCAGCCCGTTTCAGCAGAGCAACACCATCTATTGTTCCACTCTTGGTTTCTCATTGAAAGGAATGGAAAGTCACTTCTGCTCCCAAGGCTGGTTAATGCACAACAGCTGCTAAGGGAAGCTGCACACTGAAAGCACTTACACACATTCCTGTACCTTCAGTGGCAGTTGTGGCAATACTTGCACTATTCTCCACTGGTGAGCACAAGCTGAGCTCCAGCACTGCAGACCAGCAGGATTAAGGCTGCACAGCAACTGCAAATTGTTATTTGGTGCAACAGAGCACTCCAACTGCTCCCAGGGGCACTGGAACAGATAACAGTGGTGCCCAGAGAACAAACTTATCGTGTGCCTCACAGCTTTCATAGACAAACCCCCTTCAGCTGACATTAAATGCTTACTGGCTGTTCTCAACAGCTTTGGGAGTCAATGCTGCAGCATCTTTACATTACAGCAATGTATAGAAACAATGCTCCAGTGACAGCTGATTACTGTTCAACAACTCATCTGCAATAAACGAAGCAGGGCAGTACGGTTTTATTGTGATCATTCTCTCAAGCCACGCACTGTACAAAGATTCACTCCAGGCTCTGAACTGTTGCCTTTGGCGTTTTTACATCCCTGTTTTTACATCGTTACTTTTTCTTTCAAGGCGATTGGAATAATTAGTATTTCAATTTATTTTGAAGCAGCAGATGAAAATGGCACCCAAGCTGGACGGTTGGTTGGGACACGGCCTTCACTGATGAGCAGGGACCGTTACGAGGGCTTCCTCGGGACGTCGGGAAATGTCTACGTTCTGTGTAGCAACAGAAATACAGAGGAGAGCATTTATCACGCAGCAGTAAGACCAAAGCCACCAATCTCGTGTACCTTCTGCTGCCTGCCACGCAAGGAAGCGCAGCTGACTGCTGAACAAGCCTCAGGAGCCCGGCCTGCCACAGCGCTGCCCCGTGCTCTCCTTTCAGCCACGACTGCAGATGGTGAGAACTGTGCTGAGCGCATTTCTAACGCGCGGATTAAAAACGTGGCCCATTTTACAATACCTTGCCAGCTCTCTTAACGCGTTCTTCAGGCTTTATGCCTTTCACCCTGTGCTAAGCAAAGTCAATAATAAATAGCTCATCTCCCCCCTCAAAAAGGAAAGGTGAATGGGGATTTGGATCTCTTGCTGAAAATAGCACTCCTCCCCGTGCCCACCACCTAAGGCAGAAGCACACAGCTTCTTTTTACCCAGCGCTCGTTTTCCAACCAAAAAGAGGAGCTGAGCAATAGCTCAAGCAATGCCCCTGATTTGTATTCAGTGCAGGCTGAACTCCTTCATCTGAGAAGGTCAGCCACTGCAGTGCCGACAAACACAAGGCTTCAGTCCACTCGAGACAAATCACCCACACACAATGAGCTCTGCAGACACCATGAACAAATACTGCAGTACTTTGCAGCAGGGTGAAAGTACATCTCTTCAGCTGCAGCAGATAAGGAGCACACTGTCCTGCAGGCAGGGCTACAAATTCCTTGTGGGAGCACAGAACAGCACAGCAGGCAATTCTTCATCACGGCCTCTTTGTTGAGTGGTGTTGAAATCTGTGACGCGACGCTTAATTAAATGCTTTGCCTTCAACAGAGTATTTGAAGAATTCACTTAGCAGAAACAATCAGCACTTTTGTCGGTTGTGGAGATGAAAGCTTTTGAAACATCCACAGCCCTCTGAGCAACATCCAAACGCAGACAGGACCAGCTCAGCCCTTCACCAGTTACACTAAGGCACAACGGATCACCACCCATCCTGCACCAGTTTGGGTTTCTTTGGAGGGCAGGGACGAACGCTTTTGTGGAAGAACCCCAAGCACATCTCTGCTCTTTTCCTTATTGGTTGTATCCATCTGGTTTCTTTCTAAACCAAACAGCTTTGTGTCTGTGTCCAGGCAGCAGTGCCACTGTCTGCACAATCCTGCGTGCACCTGAAATGCTCACCCACCACTTCCAGCATCACCACATCACTGCCCAACCGCATGCACAGCTTTCCTCCTAAATTAACATCAAGCGGTATTTCCAACAGTAATTCCCAAGGAACTTCAGCAAGCTGTAAATTCAGCACCAGTATTTAATCAGACAAACTGTACGTGTTAAACTGAGCTACATAATTCAACACATGTAACAGTAACACTTGCTCCAAGACAGTCTCACTTATTCTCACCGTGCTTTAAGGCACCATGAAATGAGAATGGATTTCCCAAACCTAGCAGGCCAAACTAGGACACAGAAGATAAAGGAGAAAAGGAAGAAAGGAAATGTGACTGCCTGATGGAAATATCTTGACTATGAATGGCCAAAAGTCAGGATTTCCAGAACTCAGTGCCTGAGTCATTAAAACATCTTTGCAGACCCTTCCAACACTTCTGCACAACTGCCACAAATGGGTGCCCGCATATCAGCGAAGTGCTTTGTGTCTTGTGACAGCACACATTTATCTTTATATTCCTCCTCACTGTAAGCTCTTGTTCTGAAAACCACCACAGCATTTTTTCCTCACATTATCCAAACTGACTTTTGATTCACTACAAGGCATGGCTCTCAGCCTCAGCAAGGAACCACTGCCATTCTCAGTGCCATCAGCACGAGGACCTGCAAGGGAACCAGAACATTTTAATCACGACACACTGTATGTAACTTCCATAACGCAGCAATGGGGAACTTGAACTAGAAAACCTTTGAAAGGGACTTCCAAAAGCCCACACAGGGAGAGTACAAACTGTCACAGCCTGCCTTCCCATCTCCACAGAGATTTCCCAAGCTCACTTCACTCCCTTTCCCCGTTGTTTTGCTGAACCCTGAGAGCCCTCCTCAGCCTCCAAACACTCTGCAAAGCACACAGCATGGATCTCAGTGACGAAACAGCTGATGGCTCTGATGTCCCAGAAGAGGATTATCACTTCATTACTGGCTCTCTCCAAAATAAGGATGGCATTCCTAACTGAATATTTTGTGCCCGCGCTCTGCTGCTGCTGAATGACAACACTGAAAAACTTCATGCAGTTTTTAGATGGACACTGTGCTCTGTAGAAGTATTTTTCCACCCTTGAAAAGCCTGATGTGCAAGATTGAATATAGTCAGCAGTTACAGAATCACTTCTAACCACAAGGACACAGATCAGAACATTATGTCAAGTTCTCTCAGTCAAAAAAAAAACCACACAAAAAACATTCTTACCTCGGGTTTGTCTCTGTGTGTGTTTACAGCTTCGACATTCAGAAATATAGATTCTACTTTACATCCTGTTGATAAAAAACACATTTTTAGAATTGGGCTGCTTGGAAAAATGAAGTCATGGTACGGATGCAATTTAGAGTTGCAACCTGATCTACGATTTGGATTTCGAGTTTGTGAAGGAGAATCGCTTCCCTCTTCTGATTCATGCCAGAGTTCCCCAAGTTCAGAACAGCTAAAGCTACTGAAATGAATGCATTCCACCAGGATGAACACTGTTCTCAATCTGACAACCCATCTCCTAGTCTCACCATTGCTTTATCATTATTTTTTGTAACACAAATTCTCATCTTCCAACACACACCAAGAAAAGCATCCCATCAAGAAGATTGCTGTAATTTTGTGTTGTGTTTAAACATCACAGACTTAATGGGGTTGCAGAACAGTACAGAAGACAAATGCTGCTCATTTTTTAAAATGCGGAAATGATTCCACTTCATGTCATTAATAAGCCCCATTCCTCCATGTGTGCAAAGCAGAAACGAAACTTTCATGCCCAAATGGAGGGGAATGCCATGCCCTCCTTCTGGAGGGGAATTTCCATTCACAATAGAGAAATAAATAAATGATTCCAGAGAAGTGCGAATGTTGAGAAGACACAACTACACGTCACATGGGCAGAACAAGCTGACCCACTTAGCAAATTATAATTACTCAATATGCTGTGGGAACTTGTACTGAAACAGCATCAAATTGCCAAATGCAGTCAGATCTCACACCAGCACTTTTACACAGCCACCCTACGCAGCCCTGTGACGTTCCTCTGACACACTGCACACAACAGAGCCCAGCATCTGCCACAAACAGCAAATCCAGTTTTCAGAGCTTCCTGTTCACATACTTCCTAAATTCCTAACGCTCCATAAGCTTGTTGTGTGCCACAAAAAGGCAACCTGAGCCTTTCCTCAGAAAGCCACTGCACTTTCCAAAGAATGACACAAAGGAATATGGCAAATATTTGCCTTTCCCTGCAAAGCAGAGTCTGAGAAACTTCGTTTGTCACAAACACGGTGAGCAAACAGCGCAGGAGGGTCAACGCTCAGGGAAATATCAGACAAGAAAAAAGATTTTAGGAGGGAAAAGTGCATTTCTCACACTGGCACAGTACCCCAGTCATCCTCCTGTTGATAGATCCATGCACGTCATCCCTGCAGTCACACTGATCTCTGATGCCGGCCATTGCTAAGGACTGCTTACCCAGAGCTGAGATCAGTCTCTGAGAAAAACTGTCCTGCAGTCAACAGAAACCAGAGGCACTCAGTTTCTCCACAGCTAATTGCTGACATGCACACTCCTAACTGTTTTTTAATTACTGGTCCATACCTACAGCAAGGTGCAGCTTCTCTCTCCTGCATGCTCCCAAACCGTTTGCCAGTCCTCCAGCCCCTCTGTGCACACACTGCTGGCTGACACCCAGCTGTCAGGCCACAACAATTCCCCATCTGAAGATCAGACACCACAAGCCTCCAGTGCCAGGAAGAGCAAACCCCTGAGGGAGATGCGTCCCCAGAACGTGGTTAGCTGAAAGGAGCGGAACACGCCACATCCAGCCACGCACCCTGCCCCCCCCCGGCTGCCAGGGAGGCCTCAGCTTGAAATAATTCTATAGAGGTGGCAGTTCACAAGTGTTTTACACAGCCCTTGTACTTTGAGATGGTCAAATTCTAGGAAGCAGGTTGACCAAAATGTCTTTATCCTTCCTTCAGTGAAGGCAAAAGGCCAAGGAAAGCCCTTTACACCACTTCTCCATTCTCATTTGGTGTGCCAGTAACCATCCTGCCCAGCGAGGGTGGGCTGCCCCCTCCCTGGAAGCTCTCCAGGCCAGGCTGGATGGGGCTGTGAGCAACCTGGGCTATGGGTGGCATCCCTGCCTACAGCAGGGGGTTGGAACTATGTGATCTTAGAGGTCCCTTCCAACCAAACCACCCTGTGATTCCATGAAATGAGGCCCTCTTCAAGCTTCCCAACAAAGTCACCAAACTTCCCACAAAAGCAAACCAACCAAAACCAAACCACACCACCACCACCACACAAACCTTCAAGTGTGGAAACAGCCCGTGAGCACCAAGCTGAGAAGCCAGGTTCCAAAACCTGACCTTATCTTTAAGAAGTTCTCCTTGTTCTTATTGTTTCATCCTACAACTCCATTTCCCAACCTGCAGCGTGTCATGCGAGGCTGGGAACACCAGATGTCAGCACAGCTCTTACTGCAGGGCATAACCACAATGCAGTGACAAAACCTCTTCTGACTCTCCTAGCACAGCAGCTCGTTACTCTGCCTCTACTTCATCTGAGTCTAAAACCAAACCAAAGTACGTTTCTACACTGCTATTTTTCGATGCTGATAATCAAAGGCAGCTTTGACTTTTCCAAGAATAACTCAACCTTCTTTGGCCATCTGTTTCCTGGGTAAATTGTGCAGTTACTCCTCCTGGTCTGTAATCTTCTGATCTGTGATTTGGTATCAGCTCAGCACTAAGAACAGCTGCTAAGAAACATGCCAGCAAAACAAACGAGGAATGTTCATGTGGTGGTGTGAAGGTTCAGGAGCAAATATTTCAGGAAAACAGAGCACAGATATTTGAAGGGTATACAGATAACACCCTTCATAAGATGGTAAACCTACATGTAATTAAGTCTGCTCGTCTTCTAACAAGCAAGATCTTCAAGCACATCCATGAAAAGTGAGATCTTGCAGGACTAGAGCAAAGTGGCAGGAGTTGCCAGAAAAATCATTCAAATAGCATATGAACCAAAAACTCAAGAAAACCATCCATTAGCATTTCAATCACTGGCAGTTTCAGGGTCTTCACACTAAAAACACATTTTTTGGCATAACACAAAGCAAACAAAAATTAAAGGATTCGTGGATTCTAACAAGGCTGTATGGTCACACACACACACACACACACACACACACACACACACACACACAGGGTCAAGCCTGTTTCATTCTTTTTTATACCAAAATAAACATTTTAAGTTAAATACTGCACGACCTTTACAGGCAACACAGACATTGGCAATGCTGCATTCAGACTTTTTGGAAACACTACTTACCATAAGCCACTGGGGTTAGCTTTAAGACAGTGTGCAGTGGGCACTTCAGGTAAGGCAGTTGTTCTGAGAAATCAAACACTGGATTATACACGACATACAGATAAACAGACATTTTAACTCTTCTATTAAGTGCCAGACCAAGCACTTTAAGTCCATCTGACACTGGACCTATTTCATTCCTTGCATACAACAGATATGCTACTAAACAAAGGAGAAAAACAAACACTACAGCATTTCAGGTGAGAGGCAGCTCAGTAAAATCACCCATCAGGTCACATGAATAGATCAAATATGAGAACACGTATTTGCCCAGCACAAGTTCCTGTATCATCAGAGGGTGGCTGAAGTCTCTGCTTTGAACCTTTATCAGCAGATTTTCAGTGTCTTAGTAAAGCAGACCACTTGTAACACATGAAGGAAAACTTACCAGCAGGCTTGTCAAGAAAATACGCGAGCAAACAGCGCATGACAGCTTGGTGACAAATGACAAGCACGTTTTCCTGCCTTTCAAGCTCCATAATTACTGGCTCCAGCCTCTGGACAAGGTCTTCGTAGGACTGGGAGGGAAGCAGAGCAGGAAGGAAAAAAAATAACAGACCATTAAAAAGGGAAAACTTCACAGGTAAACATATATACAGTGTGTACCCTAACTTCACATTAAATGTTACACTGGGACACTGCCAACCACTGGAGTAATAATTTTCCTTAAATTAAAAGCCACCAATTGGATCCTCCCTGTATCAAAGAGCAGATGTACTGAAAAAAAATCTCCTTGGTGGAAGAGCTTTATTAAGTTAGACATTACATTCAAGATTTTCCACAAAACCCCCGGATTTCATTCAGAATGTCAGCAAGCACACAGGTGAAGGCTCACACCACGGCTGGCCCTGCCTGCAGAGCTGCTTGTGACCAACAGGGTGATTCCCCATCCGAGAGGAGGCTTCCATCAGAAAAACAAATGCTTCTTGTTCAAATGGATTAGGAGAACTTTGCAGCTTAATGGCTGCTTCATTAGTGAGACAGAGGTCACACCTGTGAGAAGGCTGCTCTTATCACAGCGATTACTTTTGACTGCTGGGCAAAGACGACCTCGGAGCTCCAGTTCCTCATTATCACTGAGGGTGTGGAGCAGCTGCTGCAATTACCTGCCTGCCCTGCTGCCCCGATCCGCAGCCTTCAGCGCCAGCACACAGGCCATGTGGCAGCTGCTAGCTGCTCCACTGTGATGGCTTTGCTCTAGAGAAGCTGCCGGCAAGTTATTTTCCCAGAGGCAAGGAGTTTATTGAAGTGAGAGACCCATCCATATGGCTATGGATTTCTGCAGCTTTTCATCCAGAACTGAATGCAAAATAACCATTACTGACAACAGCAATGAATAAAGGCAATCCTGCAGCACGTTTGCACAGGCAGTGTGCTGAAGCCTTGCAATCAGTTTTCCTGTTACATCACTGCAGGACCAGCATAAAATCAACGCTTACAAAATCAAATACCTCAACTGGTTTTCCCAATCTATTATTTTTCCAAGGTCTGAATCAAACGAAACGGACTGGAATCATAGAATGGCCTGGGTTGAAAAGGACCACAGTGATCATCTAGTTTCAAACCCCCTGCTGTGTGCAGGGTCGCCAACCATCAGACCAGGTTGCCAGAATCAGTCCTTAAATGCTCCTATGTGACTTCCAATGGAGGAGAGCACAACTTTTTTGGGAAAGAAAAATTCTTTAATGAAGTCAGCATGCCTGTATTAGAGACGATGAGGAAGTCAGTCACCCTGGGAGAAAAGAAAGCAGCATACCTCTCCTTTAGGGTATCTGTATCTGTATTTGTCCTGGTCTCTCAGTGCAAACTCAAGAGGGTAATTTTCCTGTATTTCTTCATATGTCATTTCTTCACACACTCCCTACAGGTAACAAAAGTAATGACAACGTGCCCATTCCCAACAGTGCAAAAAGCAGATATCACTTAACAGTAAAATCATGTGTAAATATAACTTAACACTTTTTTTTTTTTTTTTTCCCTCACTCTGACAATTAAGAGAGAGAATCTTTAGGCACAATGAACAGGACACTTAGCTGGACCCAGACACTGGTGGAATCAATCACTAAATTACTGCATGAATCATTAAGCCAGCAGGAGTGAAGCTACACACGTTGGCAGCAGGGCCATCGCATGGGCTGTGTTACCTACAGCAGCCCTGTGCTACAGGTGCAGCTGGGTGCTGCCAACCAGCAACGCTTTTTTGTTTTTTCTTCTGGTTTTTTCCTCTCCCTTCCAACCCCCACCTACTAATAACAATCTCTTGGCACTGTTTCTTCTCCTGAGGGATGGTTTACTAGGAAAGACAAACCAGAGCTATGACAATTCTTAAATTAATGATTCTTAAATTTTAATAAAACATTTAACAGGAAAGAATCGCAATTTTCTAGCAACCAAATCCACCCCCCAGTTGACTTTCTATCACCTAAAAAGCACATCGTTACCAGATGATGTTTCCTGCATCCCCAGCAAACAAAGCAACCTTTCAGACATTCAGAAAAGAACTTACTGCATCTATCTCATTCAAAACCTTCCACTGCTCGTAAGGCACTCCCAAAGCTTCAGCAGTTTGAATCGTCCTTTTCATCTGGCTGGTCCAAACCTTCAGATCCTTGATGTTTTGCTCATTAATAAACTGTGCCAAGCTCTTGGCAAACTGCAAGGAAAGCCATGAGATATTGGATGAGGGCTCAGAAGCAACATACTGTGTCAAATTGGAAGCCACAAGCTTTAGCCCCTGCAAGCTCATTATAACTTTGCCACACGGCTCTGTCAAGGCTTTTGCTAAAAGCATGTTCTGTTAAGCCAAGGGGAAACCCTGGAGGGAGGGAGAGGAGTAAAAGGAAGTCATTTATTCTGCCATCCCCTCTTTCACCTTTAGGAATTTTTCCTTCACTTTTAACTTGTGAGCTTCACAGGTCGGCCAACAAGGCAGGATTTTACAAAACTACAATCAAAATTAAAGCCTCCCTGACAACTGCTTTGTGCTCTAGGAGAAAGAGAAATTCCAATCAATAACAAAAGAGCTTCTACCCAAGCACAACACACAAAGTGTCCCCGTTCAGTTCCCACTACCCACATACACAGCTAAGAAATCCTTTAAGACATGAAGAGTGAAGGGATGCAGAGCCAAAAGCCGTAATAAGGCAGCACAAACCACACACACGTGCACAAATGTAAATAAAACCAAAGCCACCTTGCTCTGGAAGGACTGACTTACTTCTTTCCCCCTGACAGACAGCCCAGGATCCCCTCCTATTCTCCCCTTCAGATTGAGTTCACTTTCTCCATGTCGACAGAGGTAGATTGACCGAGGGGTCACATGGATGTTCATGAGGTAGTAGACAATCCGGCTCTGGATGTGATCCATCACTCTGTTCACAAGGTAACTCCTTCCAACATCCATAATTTTAATGTAAGAAAGATCCCTTTCATGAGCAAACAACAAGAAAAAACAATAAGATCCCACATAGTTTCTGGTAGAATAAAACAAAGGGGCAATGAGCCACAGCAACAGAGTAACCCTCAGTTACCCCTGGAATAACCGTCAGTACCACAGGCCCATCCTCAAATGATGACAGAAACAAAGCAGTCATCTGGAAGCACCAGATGAATTCTACTCCCCCTGCACCACAGAGGTTATAATTTCAGTTTTCACTCCTCTTTGTCCTTTCTCATCTCAGAGCAGCATCCGTAAAGGACAATAAAAGCCTAACAGACTGAAAATAACCACCCTTTTCTTCAAGCACCATAATAAACCAAAACACTTTACAATGAAGCCAAATGGAGGCGGTGAGAAGCAGGTACCATCACCTCACCTTCAACTGCATTCTGTGAAGTCAGCCACTGCTGTTCCACATGGCCACAACCACTAGGTCCATCACAGATGTTTCATGCATGAGCTGATCCGACTGCATCAGCTTTACATTGTTCCCACTCAATTACATTAAAACGTAGCTCAGCCTTCCTTATAGCCCTGAACCTGAAACCAACCAGGAGGTCTGACACGAGTGTGGCTCAGAATGAAATCCTGGTTCCTTTTCACTTGATTCATCCCTACCTTACTTTCAGTCACCAAAAGTTAATGAAGAACAATTCAGTGCTGTGGCAAGAAAGGAAATGATCCCGGTATGAAAGTTTCTCATAGGCTACACGTACAGGATTATTTGCAAAGGTAAATAAAGTAAGAAGTCACATTTTTAAGACTGATGTGATAAAAACATATCCTCACCACATCAACAAAGTAATTTATGTTTACAAATCAGTCGGGTCTCCCTATCCATTAAAACAAAAACAAAACAAAAACAAACAACAACAAAACACTATGGCTCATCTGGAACAATTTATAAAGCGTTGGCTCCATCCCAGAAGAATCACACCATTCTCAAGTAGGAAAAAATCAGAGGAGCACTGTCCCAGAACAAAATGTAAGGCAGTTATCCCTCACATTCTAGCTTACCTGCAGAAACAGAGCTCAAGCTATGAAAAGCACAGCCAGAAAGCCTTCACCCCAACACAGGATCGCCCGTCCCCTGATGGAACAACTTCATGTAATCCAGCTGTGATCACAGTGCTGCACTTACTTGTCAAGATTTTCATCTAACGTCTCATATGAGTTCTTGTAGCACTCTATTCTTTTCATGAAGTCTTCTGTTGCTTCATCATTACTACAGTCAACGTAGTCAGGACTACCCAGCTTCACTTGCTGTTCAAAACAGGAACGAGAGAGCAGTGCATGGGTTACCTTCCCTTTCCAATGTAGGTTTAAACAAATGGGGGAGGATGAACATGACACAAAAGCTCTTTTTCTGCAGATACTGCTCTACGTGTATTCTAATTAAGAGCTAATTTTTAACAAATTTAACTTCTGAGTTAAACGTGTAGATGAGAAAATAAAGGCAAACTGTTTCATTAATAGCAACTAATGGCTTTCATGACTGGAAGTTCTCATAATGTGCCTCCAGAAATACTGAGATACTCTACAATCTCGTGATTTCAGGAAGTTAAAGCCAACTCTCCTGTACTCACCACAATGTTTGCAGCAATGACCTCTGGATCGACACACACTGACTCAACAAAAAACGTCTTCAATCCCAACAGGAAGCCACATGAACAGAAAGAAGGAAGAAAGCAGCTGAATTGAAATGCCTCTGGACACCAACACGCACAGTCAGCAGCCTGAGCAGCTCCATGCTAACCCTTCTCTATCAGAGCCTGCCTTACACTTCCCTTCCCTCGCTCAGGCATCCCGTTTCTCCAGACCTACTCAGCAAAAACTGCTGGTCTGCTGTTTCCTGAAGCTTTACACCGTTTTCCACAACAATGTGGAACAATTTTGGAATGAAAAAAAATTAGCATGAAAGAGTGAGAAATAAATGGGGAGAATGCAGGTTCAGCCATGCAAAAATTAACTAATGCTTCTGAAAGAATAAAGTAGGAACATTTCAAGTAATGGGGCAGCCTCACTAGGTTTGTTTGGCTGTCTTAAAGGCATATGGAGATGCAAAGCTAGGGCAAAGGGAAGGTTACTGGAGAACAGCTAAACACAAAGCAACCCTGGACAGAAGGCAGAAAGCTGGAAGCCTTTGGCTTACACAGAACTACACGCATTTCCTTATGTCTTTCTGCAGGAAAAATCTCACCTGCACTAAGAACCACCATGTAAATAGTTTTTGCTAACAGTAGGCTGAGAATTACACATCCAGGATGACACAAGCAAAGCATTGCAGAGATTAGTTCCTAACACTGCAACATTAAGGATAAGGAAAACGAAGATGAGGTGACTCTGCATCACAAACAGTGCTCAGGGACACAACACACACCACTGACTACACATCTAGCAGCAGCTGCCTGCCACGGTACACTTGTTAACTCAGTGCAGACAAGGCAAGGGGAGCAAAATGGCACTGCCCTGCTCGGCCAGGCACGAGCTCAGAGCTCTTCTGCTTTTGACTCACCTTGTATCCATTTTCTTCACCAAATTTGTAAATGGTTTCTCTGCGTTCTCGAGTTGTGTTCGTAGCATCAAAGACCTACAAATGGTTACAGAGAAAGAGAGAGGAATTAAAGCATAACAGCCTGTGGAAAGCACTGTGTCAGGGACAATAAATACAAGGGTTCCAAGTCTCAGTGTGAAGGAAAGCCATGAAAACACTTTCCCTTTCCTCCAATCCACTTCCTTTTAAGTCAGAACACTGCCATTCCCTGAAAACAAATAAACCAACCTAAACAACCATAAAAAGAAACTCAGCATCTGATTCCAGGTTGTGCTCAGTCTGACCAAAGGAGATCCCAAATGGACGCGTTACATTTCCATGGAATACACAGAAAGGCAACTCTGAATTTGCAGTCTGTGGTCAGACAGTAAGAGACAGACACAGGACAGAATCTCCTGGCCCATACAGCATTAGTTTTGTATCAATCCTGCAGTACGGACAAAAAGATGCTGAAATCAGTGTTACTGAAAATGCTAGGGTAAAACTATCAGCAGAATACCAGCAAGGCCACTAAACCCTGCCTGCTGGTTGCAAGAAAATATGTAGCAATCTTTAAAAAAACACCTTCAGCTCTGAGCATTGCAGCATTTCACCACACCACAAGATAAAGGCGACCTCCCAGAACTTGCATTTTGCGTTCTGTCATCACATACTCAGATATACCATGATGTACCTTGAGTTTTTCTTGCTGTCTTCAGAGATCACTCCGCTATCAATAACACAGCAGCCAAGCAATACCTAGGGTGCTTTCTGCTCAATAAATCTTTTCACTTGAAACACTACCAAATTAAAACAAAAACAAAAAAAACCCAACAAACAAAAAAGTGCAGCCAAAAGAGACCCAGGCAGCGTTTAGCAGTATGTTGCATAGGGTGGAGAAGGGAAATGGTTCTCTTCGTATAACCCTGTCCCCTGCTAACCCCTCAAATGTGACTGCACAGTATAACCATCACCCTGAACTTCAGCCCTCCTTTCACTGCAGCAACAGGGCAGATCTAACACACAGTCATCACAGAAGACAATCTGACAGACCACAGAGACACCGGAATCACTCACTGCGCGTTGCCCAGGACAGACCCTGGTTTGTAGAGAAACAGTTCAAGAACTCATCTTCATCAAGACACTTACAGCCACGTGCCCATTCTCTTCGCTGAGGTACTGCCGGACGTCGTTCAGCGCCGCTAAGGCACACTGCCTTAAAAATGAAAGAGAAGGAATCACAAACGCCAGTAAAAGTCATCTTACGAATGCACTTACGCCCTGTGGTCAAAGTGACCTGGAGACGTTGGCTCATCTCTCTTAAAGCACGCACTGCCAATCAGTCACCCCGAGAAACCAGGGAACGTGAGCAGAGGTGAACCAAGCTAGGGAGAGCAGAGATGGCTGTGCTCATCTGCCTAAAAGAAAGCAGTGCTCCTCTAGGACACCGACTGCAGCAACACAGAGCAGCTTCCTCATCTGATTCTCAAAAAAAGAGAAAAGCAAATCAACTTCAGCCATTTATCTTGTGCCTCTAACCTTCCCAACCTTGGTGATTCTATGATTGGTCAGTAACCTACTGCTTCTCTTTTACCTACTGTGCCACAATTGTGTACGTCAAAAAAACCTGTCTGAAAAAAAGAGTGAAACAAAGTCAGTGCCTAGCAGAGAGAACAGAAACCTCACTGCAGGCACCTATCCAACATGATCTGTCAAGGACACGAGCACCACAGAACTCCAGTGCCAGCACTGCACACCTGTGTGAGATCTGGACAAGGACAAACTCACTCACAACTTCCCTACGTCCCCAATGCCGGTGTTATTTCTGAAGTCCATTATGATTTCTAACACACAAATAATGCTGTGCAGCACTGTTAGCACCACGTGCCATTTACTCGTGCACAGAGCACAGCCCTACTTATTTAAAAAAAGAAAAACTACAATCTTTTTGAAGTGCCAACCTAAGAATCTGCCCATTTCAATAGCTCTTCTATGCATCTGTGCTCTGTTTTGACTTCCAGACTGAGATGTATCACTCTCCCAGATTACATTCTGCACGCACAGCTTTATCTTAAAGTGTTTCAACCCTGACAGTATTTCCACATTAGCACGGTTAACAGATGTCAGGTACAGAGATTCATCGTCAAACCTTCACTAAATAAATATAAACTCACTGCTGACAAAGCAGATCAGCTCACACAGTCCATTTCACCTTCTGTTCCCCACCATTTAGTCTAACAGGTGACACGGAGGCACACGAAAGGTTTTGTTCTACCTCTAAACAAAAGGCAGGGGCTTGCATGGCAAATGCATTGCTCAGCTACACTGTGGTCCCCAGCAGGCTGGAGGCTTTTATGCAAGTCGTTGTCCTTCAGCAGTAAGCAGTCCTCAAATGCTGCTGGAGTGGAATGGGGGGGTAAGAGAACAAGGACAAGCAAAGGGGAGCCACAAAAGAAAGTTCAGACATTTCTGTTGCCCGAGCCAAAGCCATTAAGAACAAAATACACTGTATTTTAAGCAGTCTGAACAAATGCTATTTCCACTCCTTGAGAACTTCTTTTATTTGTTGTTTCATGCTGTAGTCTCTTAAACGCACAGAAAAATAAACAACGAAGAGAACTGAAAAATCATCCCAGTGGATATTCCATAACAGGGGCAGCTCCCTCTCGCTCTGACCTTCTCTCCTCTGCCATTTCTTCCACAGGTCTTTCCTCTAAGCTGAAGAACAGAGATTTTCCATGCAACAAGGGGTCCCACATGCTTTGTCTGGCACAAATGTCCACACCTGGCTCACCTTGCTCTGCACAGTTTTAGAACAGCAAAGCATGGCACCCACTGAGGCACTGTGCTGGTCAAGCACACGATGCACACATATGGTAACCAAGAAGAGAACCTCAGGGAGAGAATACTTGTGTGCCACTTCTTGAGTGGATAATGACAGACATGCAGGCAAAAACATGATGTGCAAACCCAAAATAAAAGAAACTATGTGATTTCTTTTCTCTGTGATCCTCACAAAAGCTCTGAAACAGCCTTATATGGGCAGCAGAAAGGTCACGTCCAATAGCTGGTATTTTACACAAAGAAAATAAGAAGAATATTCTCCTTTGGTTTTGAGTGAAAATTTGCAGGAATATCTATATAAACAAAAGCCTGCCCAAAAGGCAAAAAGAATCACATTCAAGTATTTGTCTGCTGCGTATTTTGATACTTCAGCTGAAGCAATTAAGAAAAATAATAACCCAATTGTTAAGTAGCATGAAGAAATCACCTTTTCATCTTTCCTAGAGTACTCTTCCTTCTCTATTATTACATCTATGTCTTCTTTGGTACATAGAAGTTAAGCCTAAAGCAGTCTCCAAGAGCAAACACACAGGGTGCCATTCCAATACAGCCAGCTGTGCACAGACAAACATGCCCAAAACTTACTTCCTGATTTTCAACCCTTCTTCATTGTCAGGCAGGAAGAATTCAAAAGATTTGTACTTCTTCACCAGATCTCGACGATACTGACCAACATTGAACTCTGCAGAGAAGAGCACTGTGTTAGTAGAAGCCAAGAGGATAACAAGGATCAACATTATGACAGCTTTGAAACCAAACCACCTCCAAGCATAAAATAATTTAGCAGGTACCAAGGTGACATATCACACATCATTTCTGTTGGGTTTGTTTGTTTGTTTGTTTAAGAACCCTGTTCAAATAGCTCTGCTCCTTAAGGATCTCTGTACCCATTTCACAGCAACTCCTGCTGCTTTCATCTTACTACAATCTGCTAACAGTGGTCAACAAAAGCTACTCCTTATCTGGGCAAAGGTCCTGTGGGTCTCAGTGCCAGATGTGGGATTAGGGCAGGGCAGTCCTGTTTTGTCACACAGCAGGCAGTGACACTGCACCCTCATTAACTTCATTCAACAGCTCTTAAAGTGGGTCCCTGTAGTGCAATTAATGTTTAACTTGTTTTCTGACCTATAGGTTTTTTTCTGCTGAACTGCAATGCAGTTTTGTTTAACATGAGATAAACAAGTACTCTGTTTGAGAAGCTTCAGGGCATCAGTATTTGCCAGACTTCTGCACAGAGGAAAAAGGAATGACAGACATCATTGCTGGGACATAATAAAGAATGAGACTCAGGATGAAAGAGTTCAACCTTAAGTTTTCCTAACAGAAGCTTACATACACATCTCTGTTTGGATGGCAGGGCAGGAGGACAAATAAACATTATTTATCCCCTTCCAAAAGGGAAGTTTTGTTGGAATCCCACAGCGCTGATGTATGACACGGATGACAGAACAAACCAGGCTGTTCTGTCACAGACTTAACGAACGTTGGCCATGCTTTTTCCTGTAGCTGGTAAGCCCTCGTAAGAAAAACAGGAGATGCGAGTTCAGACAGCCAGTGTTGCCACAGCCCTACACAACAACAAAAATAAAACACCTGGTACCAAAAAACAGCTACTGCAGGAATGTAATGCACAGCAAAGGAAAAGTGCTGCCCAGCACCACAACCATTCGTCCTTATCACCAGCATCCACCTCGGGGGAGAAGTTTTACAGCATAACTGCTATCACAACCTCACAGCCAAAACTATTCCACAAAGCTTGCCAAAGGGTAGCATCCAAAAATCCCAGTGAAAGACAGCTCTGTTAGGCAGATACCTGACCTCCTTTCCTTCCCAGAGCCCAGACAAAAGCCCTTTGTAGTTGTAAGCATTTCAAACTCTTAGCGACAAAGGATTTTGGAAGGAACAAAAGACAGAAACCAGAACCGAGGGCTTAAAGGATTCCAACAGCATAAACGACTCAAATATTCAAACAGCAAAACCCGGGGCTGTTTACCTTCACCGTCTGGTCTTAAACTTGTGCTTGAAGTCCATTATGTGAAAAGACACCGTTTGTCTTTTCTCTGCTTTACATAGACTAGAAGTTGTAACCATCCGTCTCAGAGGATAAGGATGCGTACTGTATTAAGTACACGCCAATTTCAAGGCATTAAGAGCCACAGTGTAGCAGATGTGAGGAATAGCTGCCACATATCCCAACAACTGGAAGCAGGAGGCAATGCGTCATCTAGTCCAGCAGGGAGGTATCTCAAGTTATCTCAGCTTCAGTACAATTACATCGCTGATGACACAAACAACAAAGGTCGGTGGTTTCCTACGAAAGTCCCAAGGCATCTGACAAAAGCAAAGCAGAAGCAGCAGCCTCCAATGGGAGCCCAGATACCAGCTTCACGTTGCATGCCTCTGTAAAATCAGGCAGCAGTGCTGTAACTGCTGCTCGTTAAGCACAATACAAACATCTGATGTGCTGCTTACAGCAGGGCACAACACTCCCTGTACCTGAGGCAGGGCACCATTTCTTGTCTTACTGTATGCAGGACAAATTCAACCAAGCACGAGTCAGAGGTGGGCAATATTTCATCACTCAGTACTACAGCTGTGCTCTGCAAAGTTCACAAAGCTGGCTGCTCAACGCTGTGACACAAACACATAACATGTAAATTGAACACGTGCATGTACACATCTAACATGCATTTAAATCGGTTTGGATGCAGGCTAACATCTTTAGACCTCTATTCAGTGGCAGCCTAATGGACAAAACTCAAGTCCCTAAAAATTGGATGCAGCCACATCAGAAGGGTGCACCAGTGTGACAAGACAGAACTCACTGGAAGTGATCAGAAGAATTCTGTAGACTCCCACACTCAAGGAACAGAACCTTCTCCACGATGCCTCCATTAAACAAAACACATCAGGTAACTTTCTAAGAATTTACGAAAGCTGAACTCCAAAACCCACGTCCTAGAATCCAACAGCAATTTAAATACAGCTCTTCATCTGGACTTTTCAGGATGACTCAAACTCTGAACAGCTGACTGTCCATTCTTCAGTACACTCTCCTACATTTCATGTTATTTCAATGATTAACTAGCTGTAACTGTAAAGCCACCATTTCTGCACAGAACACTAAAACACATCATTGTCTTCTACACACATACACAGAAAGCAAGGAGAGTTTGCTGCTCAGAACCTCAAATGGATTTAGGTCTTGTTCATCAATCTAGGCCTGCAAGATGCCACAAAGGCTCAGGAATGAAACACATTAGGGCAGAACTGGTCTGAGTCTCTCCTCCCAGACATGCATAAATTCCTTCAGAGCGATAACAAGCGGCCAGCTGTGTTCCATGGGGTCGTAACGTTCAAAGACAGAGCTGCAATCCATTCCACAAATGCAATTAAACAACATTACATATAAATTGCACACTGCTCAAAGTTCACAAAGGGAATGGAGAAGCCAGAACTTCAACCCAGAAGCGCTGACTGCTGCTCCGCTCACAAAGGTGCTTCCTTTTCAGCCCAATGCAACGAAGAGGGAAAAATAAGGCAGCTAAGGATAAGGGCAAAGTTGACTTAGCCATCTGTTACAACACGGAGGTAAACGAGCAGCCACCAGAATACGAACATCAGAACAGAACAGCGAATCTGTGTATGCTGCTGCTGCAAAAATAAACAAACACGGTGACACAGCACGAGTCCAAGTAGCCAACAGTCACATCAGGCTACAAAATCATTTGGAGTTAGGCTGGTAAAACACTGAACCTCAGCCCTGCAAACAAAATTAAGTCCATCACCTTTTGTAGGCACTCCAATCCAGTTTAAATAGCGTGTCAGCTTTTTTGAGATGTAGGTTTTTCCTCTTGCTGGCAGACCCACCATGACAATCAGCGTAGGGCAGTTGGTCATACATACTGAAAGACAAAAACAAACTGGGGTTATTCACCGGGACGTTTCCCCAAAACAAAGGCTCACGTGGCAGTGGAAAACGACAACTCCGTGTGCTCTCCAAGGCAGTGACGGTTCAAGCAGCTCATGCACAACGTTCCCCTCTTTCAGGGGATTTCCTCAGCAGCACAGTGACTGAGGTTCGCAGGCTGAGTGGAATCTTAGAAGGGCAGAACAGCGGCAGTGCAGTGCTGGACACGTGAGCTGCAGGGGCAGCAGAGGAGGAACCCCCGTATTTGCATCCATGTTTCAAGACACACAAAAACAATGACAGCAAAAAGGTCACTGATGTCTAACAGGCCTGCCCACCTTGGCCCAGAGCTTGCATTGAAAGGAAACAGCAAGGTGCACACCGTTTGTAAATCCCTGACAGCATCTCAGTGCTGCTCAAGCCTTTCTTGGTTTTGAGCAAAGCGAGCAGCATGACAGATGCAGCTTAATACATTTTGGTGCTCCCTGTTTATCCCTTTCCCTCTAAATACTGTTAATGACAGCCCCATTTCAATGCCCTTGGTTGGTTAACAGCAGGCATGGAGCACAAGTATTCCGGGCAATTCAGCACAATAATCCGATGCACAGACATGGATAAACTCTCCCATATCAAAAGCAGAGCTTTTAATTAGAAAAACAACAACTCCATCCAAAGTTGGAGGAATTTACAGCTGCGGTCTGAACACCTTGAGGCATTCCTTTCAAATGACAAGTTTTTTTGAACACTCCAACAGTACAAAACTACGGATACCTTGCATGAATCTATCACTGATACAAGGAACTGCCTAAAAAGAAAGAACACAGTAAAGATTAAAGTCCACAGGTTCCCCATCCCGCATTTCAAAGGGAATTAACTCGCATACCACAATCCACACAAGCGTAGCTTTCCTCCATCCCCTGACAGCAGAGTCAACTTGTTCTAAACCACCACACCAAAATGTCATGCTGGGAAGTGTGATCAAGTTGTACTATGATTGCCTGAGATTCCCAAAGCCTGGGCAGGGCCCCATCCCACTGTATTATATGCATGAATCTTGGGCAACAAACCCATCAGAAAAGAATAAACAGGTCAGCAAAGACAGATGTGCTTTCTTAAAATCACGATTAAAAAAAGAGAAAAAACAAAAATATAGACCACTTCTCAAGGGGGAGGGGGAGAGCAAAAGCTACACCTGACCTCAAATCCATTAAAGAGACTGCCACTCCATGCACTGAACGTGATGGAGTGCAAACTAAAGCAGACCCACTCACACAGATGCAACAGTCCAGAAAAACTGATGAAAGCCCTCCAAGTCAGCTCTCCTGCACCCAAGCCTGCTAACAAGAAGGACCATGATTTCTTGTCCATCTTCCACTCTTCCCTGGATGGAAGAAAGCAAGCAGGCTGTAGGGAAACAAAGCCTGAGGGGCGCAAAGAGGACAAAACTCACTGAGGACAAAACTCACAGAGCCAAAGCTCTGCTGTTGGCTTTAAGAGCAAAAAAATGAAATCATGAGATACAAGAACACCCTGAGACATGAAAAGTTTTAAGGGAAGACATTGTTCCTTGAAAGGTCCTTCATCTGAAATGGCCACCTCGAGTTTTAAACCATCTTCCAAGGTAAGCAGGGAAATAAGTGTTGCAAAAGCAACGATGAAGAAGGATCTGCATGGAAAGGTTACACATGCTGCCTTGGGTCCATCTGCTCTCCAAGGGACCTGAGGGACTCAAGCAGGCAACTTCACTCACACAAAGCACAGTTTCCCAAAGGGCAGCATGTCCAGACTGCCTCCATTCTCCTCTCCCCGTAATGACACCAACTCAGCCATCCCACAGAACATCTGTCTCTCGATAATGGGCCGAGTGGAACAAAACTCAACTTTGCAAAACCAAGGGCAAGCAAATGGCCGTTCAGAGCTGCCTCTCACTGAGCTCCCATCCTGCTGCCAACACGGGTCTGTGCTCCACCATGGAACCACAGAGTGCCCCAAGGGAAGGGGCTTACCAGGATCAGAGTCCAACCCTGCACACAGGGCCACCCCAGGTGCAAGCTGAGCAACACAACAGCAAAGGCAGGGCACTCCTACTCTGCAGGGGCACCGCGCTGCCTGAGCGTGCTCCTCCTCTTTGGGGGGGGACTGCCAGCAATATGCTAACAGAAGCACACAGAGCAGCATCTTATTTCTTCTGTAGCGTTCCAAGCAACGCAGGCAAGACTCAGCAGAGCAAATGCTGGTCTTTGCTTTCTTCCTCCTCATCTGACACATTGAAAGGCTTTATGTTGCTCGTTCACTCCATAAAATAAGTCAAGTCCAAAACGATATTTAAAGTGTAATGATGCAGCAAATAGCAAAAGGTTAAAAATAAAGCAAATATTTCCCATGGTATTTGGGCAGCTGCTCTCCCAGTGAGATGCTGCCAACACTGCAAGTGGTCAGGACTGCCCAGCAAATGGCAGCGTTTGAAGTGTCAGTGTCTCAAGACTTATGCATTCCTCTAAAGAAACCAGAGGAACGGAATGGCCTGTGTTGAAAAGGACCACAATGCTCATGTTGTCTCAACCCCCTGCTATTGCAGGGTCGCCAGTCACCAGACCAGGCTGCCCAGAGCCACATCCAGCCTGGCCTTGAATGCCTCCAGGGAAATGTCTGACACCAGGATGTGAACTGATTAAAAAAAACACAAAACCAGCCAAACACAAAAGCCACCACACAAGCAGCTTCTAACTTCCGAAATTAAAAAAGCCTCTCAAATTTAACCCTTTTCCCAGTGGCACAATACCCTCCTTCCCTTTGTACAGCAACTCACCACCATCTGCCCCACGTAAACAGAACTTACAGCAGGAAAGTAGTCAGGAAGTGCAAGTTGCAGAGACTCACCTTGCATCCTCCCACTCTGAGAAAAAAAGCACACAGAAAGCACCACTCCACAAAGGACAGAGGCCAAGTGACAACATGCTGAAACATGTGAGACAGCACTTTAAAATCAAGTATCACAATTTAAGCAAAGCCATTACCTCAGTTAAAAAATAAATTAATTACATGTATACAGCAAGATGCATCTCAGTGTAGAATTACAGCTGCCACCACTATGATGTTTAACGCTTAACAATTAAGGAAAAAAGAAACTGCATGCTCATTTCTTGCTGCTTCCTGAGACTGCATTGTGAAATAATGCGAGATACAGAAGGTGGTTTTGAAACTTAAATGGGACACTGCCCAGAATTTCATTAGCCTTCCAAATCTGCACCTTACAAAATCAGAGGCAGAAGTGATTTTTTAGAAGTTTAGCTACTGCCTATTGCATTATCAATTGTCCTTTTTCACCTAAAATGAGACTCCTTCCCACCATTCCTGCTAATTTTTCAAAGCAACACATATGGCAAGAAGGGCTTTTGTACTAAGCTGCATCAAGTTTAGTGAAAGATTCCTGCTGCTTCAATGGAGCTCAGCTCAAGGCCTGCATCCTGAAACTTCGTGCTATTCCGAGGCTCACATACAACTATCTTTGGCTGTATGTCAACAGAAACACCCTTTCAAACCTCATTAGCTATACATGTTTCCCCAACTCTCTTACCCAATTTCACTATTACTAATTCACCTTTTCCCTGCTGATCAATAATGACAGTCACTCTTCTCTGCATCTCGCAAGGCAAAGTTCCCCATCCGGGTGCTCTCCGCCCCCTTTCCCCTACCTGAAGAGGTCCATCATCTTCCATTTGTCTCTCCTCTCTTTTCTCAAAATCCCAGTTTCCAGCACCACTTTGGTACGAGGGATTCCTGTTTGTTCTCTGGCCTTGTGCCACCACTTGCTTGCTGTAGGCCAACATTTGCCTCCTGCAGTTCGATGCTGCCAGCGATGGCCCCACTGTACATCCTGACCCTCAGCTTCAGCCACGTGTTGTCCTCACCTCATTCATGTTTTCTATCTTCAGCTCCTAGGACTGGGACTACAGACACGTAAAAGCATTGCCAGCTCTTAGGAAAGGCAGCCTTCATGTGATACTCCTCTTTTCTTTCTGGACCTGAGGTACATTCCCTCTGCTGTTCAAACAGCAAATAAAAACTCATGAGAATGACCAAATTCCAGCTCTGGGGAAACAAGAGCTACAAACTGCAGTTGGAATGATCTTTAAACCACAGGAAGCTCAGTGCTTATCTACTGCTCTATAAACATCCTCTGCAACTTTCGCTGTAGCATACTTTGCTGTTTATTTATAATACTTTGCCTGTAGCCCATTCACCAAGCTTGTCACAATCTGACAGCTGATGCTGAGACCACAGAATTAAGGGGCAGCTATCATAAGACTGAACACCTCCACCACCTCCAAGTATTACTTGGGTTGGTCCTTTGGAGCACTTCTCCCTCTGCCTGCCTGCTCTCGCCAGCTGTAAGACTGCAGTCTGCTGGGCACACTACATGCACTCAGAACTCCGTGCTCCTCAAAGACCTCCAGATACTCAGACCAAAAAAACCCAGAACTTCCAAGCCATGACAGCTACAACCCGGACACACCTGGCCAGGTTTCTTCCTCCTCAGGTAATTACAGGCGTTACAACTCTCAGAAAATCACTGAAAGAATACTTAGCGTGGGTCAGTCCCTTGGTACGTGGCTCTGCTGTGTCCTCCACAGAACTGGGCACAATTCTGCTCTGCCTCCTCCTAGAAAGATAAAGACTAACAAGTGCGGATAAATGTAATTAGCTGGAATGATGAACTAAAAACCCAACCGAAACAGAACTTTAGGAGCTTATCTTGCTTAAGCCAAGAAATTTAGAAGATGTCAGAGCAACTAGCTTCAGCATCTCCCCTGGAAAGCTGATCCTGAGTACAGGAAACCACCTCAGGCTCGGGCTGGCAGCTCCCGCAGCACCTCACAGAACACAGGGACCTGCAGCAGCAGAGGGTTGGAGCTGGCCAGCCCGGCACTGCCCCCACACCTCCTGCTGGGGGGTCCTGCAGCTCAGTGCTGGGCTACAGGTCTGGCTGCTCATCAGAGCACTGCATGACACGCTGTGCAGGAAACGCTGCAACACCTTTTCAGTGCGTGGGAGCAAGAGAGGTGGCTTTTGCCAAGGAAGAGCGAGTCCTGCCTCTCTCTTGGCTGTCTGCAATTATCACGGAATCACAGAATGGTTTGAATCGGAGGGGACCCTTAAGGGCTATCTGTCCAACCCCCTGTGCAGAGCAGGGACACCACAACTCCATCAGTGCTCAGAGCCCCTCCAGCCTGACCTTGGCTGTCTGCAGGGATGCAGCACCACCTCTCTGGGCAGCTGTGCCACTGCCTCACCACTTTATCATAAAAATCTTCCTTATATCCAACCTATATTCCCTCTCTTTAAATTTGAAGCCATTTTTCCTTGTCCTGTCACCGCAGACCAAGCTACAGAGCCTGTCCCTTCGTTCCCGCAGCTCCTTTAAGGCTCACACACGGCTCCAGACGTACCAGATATTCACCGCAACAGCAAACCCAAGAAAAAGCAAGGTTAAGAAAGCCGACGTCCAAATCCGGTTTTCTTCTTAACGGCTCCTCGATTACAACGCAGACTCCGTCCGTCACCACGTTACCAACGACCCGTTCTCGTTCTCGGCCTTTTCTTGCCACCCACCCGCTCCCCGCCGTGCGCAGTGCCGGCACCCCGCGGTCCCGATGCTCCGCTCGCGGCGCTCCGGCACGTCCCGCGCTCCTTCGGCGCGGCTCCGGGCGAGGCGGCACGGCGGCTCCTCCTCACGACCAACACAAAGCCCCTTTTGTCCCCAGCGCCGCCGCCACTTGGGGAGGCGGCACGGGGACTAGCCTCGGTCCGCCTCACTTTCGGTACAAACGCGCGTTTTCAAGGCGAAGCGGAGCGATCAAAACCGACCCCAGCCTCCTCCCCGCCCGGAGCAGCACGGGCCCAGGCCGCCGCTCCGAGCCGCTGTCCGCGCCGGCCCCGCCCGAGCTCGCCGCCCGCCGCCCGCCCCGCTCACCGCCGCGCTGCGCGCTGTGCCCCGCCGGCAGCCCGTTGTCGTACGGCTCCCACGTCTTCTGCAGCGGGTTCTGCGTCAGCTCCCGAGCCGGAGACGCAGCCGCCGCCATCCTCGGCCGGCTCCTGGAACGGCCCCTCGGTCCTACCTCCGCCCCCGAGGCGCGGCCGGGCCGGCGGGGCGGGGCGAGGCGGGGCTGCTGTGCTCGGGCTGCCCTTCCCGCGGCGGAGAGAATCGCGGAATCCTCAGGCTGGAACGGCCTCTGAGCGCCCTGCAGCCCGAATCCCTGCTCTGAGCAGCGACGCCACGGCCAGGCCGGGCTGCACAGAGCCGGGCTCAGCCTCGCGTTGAAAACCTCCGTCGCTGGGTAGCGCACACGGTGCCTCACCAGCCCCTCTGTAAAAGACTTCTTCCTTATATCCAGCCTAAATCTACCCTTCCTAGGCTTGAGTTGATTTCCTCCTCTTCAAGACTGGCCACAGCTTTCTACCCTTGGGGCCTGAGCTGTGTTTTTATGCTAGTGTTCTTGCAAGGGTCAGAAAATAAGGAGCAGAGAGAGGAAGGAGCAGGTGTGAGGACAGGCTGAGCTGGGGCTGTGCATCATGGAGAAGAGAAGGCTGCGGGGAGAGCTGAGAGCGGCCTGTAGGTACCCCAAGGGGCTGTAAGAAAGAAGGAGACGGACTCTTTAGCAGGGTCTGTTGTGACAGGACAAGGGGAAATGGTTTCAAGCTAAATGAGGAGAGATATATGCTGGATATAAGGAAAAAGTCTTTTACAGTAAGGGCAGCGAGGCAGTGGCACAGCTGCCCAGAGAGGTGGTGGTGCTGCACCCCTGCAGACAGCCAAGGTCAGGCTGGAGGGGCTCTGAGCACTGATGGAGCTGTGGTGTCCCTGCTCAGCACAGGGGGTTGGGATGCATGGCCTTTAAGGGTCCCTTCCTAAGGATCCTAAGCACAGCATCCTGGGCTTTCTGCGATTTCACTTTGATGACAAATTGCTTTTGTTGTTGATAAGCTTACTTATAAGATTTTTTTTAATAACCTCAGTGCAGTGCTCTTTGACTGAGAGGACTGAGGAAGTGAATACAGCAATGCTGTGCCACACCTGAGGTTTTATTTCAGACATGTTTTTCAAGGGCATTATGCTGAATTCCTAGACAAAGACAAAACAAATAAACGTAGCTCAGCAGACTCCGGATAAATGATAGCAATCATCTTCTGCACAGTCATTTTCATCAACTCCTATCCTAACACAAAGGCCTGGGAAGCAGGGCTGGTTTTTGTAGGTGAGCAGCTGGAGAGTCTGCTTTGTTTGCTACACTGAGACCACAAATAAGCCTTGACTCTTTGGAGAGGTTTTACACAAAACTTCTGCTCTCAGGGCCATGCTGAGCTGAAAGCTTACCTGCAAAAGCACTCTGCAGAAGGAAAATGCCACAGGGAAAGTTGGCCTTGGAAATGAGCTGCTGCTCAGGCACAGAAGGTGCCCGAGCCAACTAACCAAGTGTTCCTTGCTCTTTTCAAACTCCTGCCTGATGAGACAGGAAACTCTTAATGCAAGTGGTAATTATTTCTTCCAGATGAGGAAACAAAATAGAGGAGAGTGAAACAAGGCTTCTGCTTGATCACACATAAACCCTACTTTCTACCTGTAAACAGCCAATGCTGTCTTGTACGAGTTCCGCAGTATCTCCACATTACTTTCATGTGTCTCATTTCCCTGCTAAAGATGTCACTGCCTAGTCTGACAGATCATAAAGCACCCATAAAACACCCAGCATCCCCAGCTCCTGCCTTCCCACCTTTTCTCTGACAGCATCAGCTCCCTGCACGGGATGAGAAAAGAAGACTTTCCAGTCCTCCAGGTGCCCACGCCCTCACTACACCGAGTTCAACAGAGACAGGTCACGAAAAACCAGCTCATAAGCTTGTCTGCAGCGCAAAAGTTTGGCTACTTCAGATGCTATTTTAAAGCGATTAAAGGATACGCAGACAGCCAGAGGTCAGGAGTTGGGTTTACATAAACAGGATATTTACAAAGAAGTGGCTGCTCCGAGCCAAGCCCTGCAGAGCAGCACATGCAGCGTCGCGGCTCAGCACGCTCAGAGCTGTAAGTGCTGTGACAACATCCTGTTCCCACTCTCGCAGCAAAACAAGAAGCAGCTGATTCTGAGAAGTTCCTGAAATATAGAGCACACAGTAGAACCTCCAAGATAAAAAGCCACTAAACACAAGCTTTACATTTCCAGGCCCCTCTTATCATCGGTGTTGAAACAAGAGGTTTGCAATGTCAGCTCTGCTTTTTAAGAAACCAGGGCCACAAAAATGCCCGATGGGATGGAGCAGCTCCTCGTGAGGACAGGCTGAGAGCTGGGGCTGTGCAGCACGGAGAAGAGAACGCTGCGGGGAGAGCTCAGTATCCAAAGGGGCTGTAAGAAAGAAAGGGACAGACTCTTCAGCAGGGTCAGTGGTGACAGAACAAGAAGAAATGGTTCCAAGCTCAAAGAAGGTAGATTTAGATTAGATAACAAGGTTTTAACAGTGGGGTGGTGAGGCACTGGAACAGGTTGCAGTGGGTGCCCCATCCCTGGAGTCTCAAGGCAAGGCTGGACCAGGCCCTGTGCAACCTGCCTTAGCTGTGCTGTCTCTGTTCATCGCAGGGGAGTCGGATTGTATGACCTCTAAAGGCCCCTCTTCCAACCCTCAGGATCCTATGAAACTGAGCCATAAGCCAACAACACGTAGATAGCCGCTGGACGTTAAGATAATGAGATACGCCACGTTATGCGTTTACAAGCACAACACAACCCGAACACTTCCACGCCCGCAGTGCGCTGGGAGGTCGTCCTCCACCGCTCAGCCCCGCTCAGCTTCGTGTTCCTCCCTTCCAGCAGGACGAGTCCTCGCGCGGCCGGCAGGGGGCGCCCCAACGCCGCCCGGCGCCCTAACAGACCAACGCCGCCTTGCGCCCCGCGGCGCTGCCCTTGCCGGCCGTGCGCCCAGCGTCCCCCGCCGCCGGCGTTAAACCTTCGGGGTGGGAGCCGAAGCACGGCCAGCAGCAACAGATGGCCCGAACCCACGCCATGACCCTGCAAAAATTAAGTGGGGCGCTTTTGCCGTTCAGAAACCGCCGCGGGGTAGCAAAGCTTCCAGGAGTAGTGGAGTGAAATGCGCCAGCTCCGGGCTTCTGAGCGCCCCAGGCAGTGCTGAAGGTTACAGAAAGTGAGAGGAGAGAAAAGAGAAAAGCCGTCTCCTAACACTGAAGTTTTTTTTCCTTCAATCAACTGAAAAAAAAATTATTAAAAAAACAACAAAAAAAAAACAAAAAAAAACCCAGACGTAATATTTTAATGGCGAGACATCAGTCTCAGAACAAAATCTTCTCATAGCTTTGCAGACAGCAAACACTAATGAATGATACTTCACCACTGACCAAACACTTCCACTTCTCTAAAGCATTTTCTTTCCATGCTGTCACGAGGTTCATTTTTCCCCCCCAGTATGAGATATTCATTCCGCGCCTTGAGGAAACGGGCAGCATCCAACTTCCACACACATTAAATAAGCAGCAAAGCACTCCATCCAAGAGTTCTCCATTGCAATCAGCATGCTGCTGTTCTAGCCAGAAGGAGCAAGCAGAAATTTATGTAAATTACCCCATCTTTAAATAGGGATCTTCATCTCCTACATATTGCACTGGTGGGAAGAGAAACGAGCCCATACTTCCCCTCTAAGAAGCTCTGTGGATACACTTGCATTCTACAGCTTACAACTGCTCTCAGCAACCTCACCCGCACAGCACAACACAAGCTTGTTGGAGAGCAATGCAAGGAGGCACAGCAGAACACAGAAGCTGCAAAGATCATTAGCACAAATACGATTTCAGAAAGACAGACACGCACCAGGACGGTCTTCAGGCCCACACATATCTGGTATCTGCACCAGCTCCCTGCTTCCAGGCTGACTGGGTGGCTGCCTCCAGCTAACTGACAGCCTGCTGTGCTCCAGCCACAGCATTTGTACGCAGCACAGGATAATGCCAATTCCAGTTATAATGGGTTTTTTATTTTAATTAGAAAATGATGTCACATCTACCTTTAGCAGGCTTGCGATGGTCCTTCATTGGCCCAATCTATGCAGCTGGAAGGAGGATTTAGAGGATCACTGAGTAATTCAGCTAAATGACCCGAGGACAGCCAGCAACAGCTATCTAATATACAAGGCCATTGCAACACTGCGAGCCAATTAGAAGAGGTGATGACCAAACACACAACTATGCTTCACCCTTTCTGCTCACAACAACGCTCCAACATTTCAAAACTGGACTTTGGGTGGAACGGGAGAGAATTCTCCCACACCTCTTACAAGCAATAGGGCTGATTTTCCTTTGGCCAGGCAGGTGCTGCAGTGCTATTCTGAGGTGAGAAGCTGCAGTTTGAGGGTAAGTGGCAGCATCCAAGCTTTGGATCCGTGCTGCGTTGCAACTCTAATGACCAAACGTAGCGCAGAGCAGACGGGACGCCTCGATGACATCCCTGTGACATCAGCACCTCTGCATGGAACAGACCGTCCCTCCTCTGGGTAATTCCCATATTCCTGGAGTACAGATCAAGCCCAGCAGGTTTTTCCTTCTGTGGAAGGGATGTCTTTAATGAGCTGCATAGGGATGTTGTCACCTTTGTAAGGCAAGAGCTAACTCACCCTGCTCGGAAAGGAACCGAGAAGGTGGCTCTCTTCCTCCTGGGCTGATCCTGAGCTCCTGGATGATGGCAAAGGCAGTGCTTTGGGAACTGCCATCCTGCAGAAGAGATCCCTCGTGGCTGAAAAACCTTTGCACGCAGCTTCTCACAGAGAACAGGAAGAATTCCCTCGCAAGCACAGTGAGCAACCGGGCCGGAGAGCTGTGCCAGCACATCAGCAAAATGACACACACTGACACACACTGATTCACACCTTCTCAGTTCAGTTTCTCAGGACCCACGTCAACACTTGAAACGAACACTTCCCAGCTCCTCAAGATACTGTCTTCTCCACAACCAAATGCACCATTCTTTTTGTTTTCCCATTCAGCTTAGTATCACAGGCATCAAACCGGCAGGCAATGAGAAACAGCCCACTAAGTCCCCCAA